CAGCTTTCATCTCGGCGCTGCAAATTTCGGTGTGTTAAATAGCAGCCGACAGGAAAGAAAAGAGGAGAAAAACTTATCGATGGGTGATTACCAAGTACCAAGTACTGAGTACTGAGTAGTTGTTTTTGTTGAGTAAAAGGTTCCGCACACACACCGATTTCAACAGCTTTGCGTTAATGGTTAAGTGTACTTTTTTTTACACAGTTTTTACGAACGATCTTGACGTGACCATCTGGCTGCCTTCATCTTGGCATCCTTGACACTAAGAAGACCGCAAAATATCGAATTTATTTCAAATTTGTACCATTGCACCAGAACGAACATCAATGAGGCTTTATTACTGTACGATTAAAGGTTTTTTTTAGATAAAATATCAGCAAACCCAAAAGAATAAAGAATATACTCGTAATCCGAGTAGATCTAGCAAGCTATCTAAGGAACTATCAGGAAAAATTTGTAGTCATTTTGAAATTTTCTAAACCTTTTTAAAACGTTAGCTTTCAGAACTCCTTTATTTAAGCATTAAAGAGTTTGGAGAAGAGCAATATTTCCTGTCATTAAGGATGTATTTAAACATATTGAAAGGATAAACTGGATATTATTTATCCACAACAACATTGCGCTATATTAAAAATATAGTTCCATATATATGATAAAATAGTGAAATTGAAATTTCAAGCCACACACCCGCCCATACTATTTTAGACATATGGTATCGACTTAATATTTTCAATAAATCGCTATTGCAAAACATCTAATTATGTATGTATATATCAATATATTGATATTTTTTAAATCTCTACCTAGTAGTCGTTGCAGACAACTTTGACTTATTCTTTATATTCAAGGGCGAGGCAAGGGTATTATAATTTAACTCAGAAGCATAAAACACTGAAGGAGTCATTTCCGACCCTATAAATTATATATATTCTTGATCAGCATGAACAGCCAAATCTATCTAGCTATGTTCGGCAAACATTTAAAATTTTCAAAATTTGGAACATTTTTTAAAGTATAAATTGAGTATTCAGGTTTATTAATCTAATAAAAAGTATCACAAAACAACTTTCCGAATAGAATTTAATGCATTTTTGGCTAAATTATGAGTATTTTAAACTTTGATTTATCGATAAAATTGTTATATTTGGGATATATTTTTTATTTATTGCTTTATATGTACGTTATGTTCTCAACTGGGATAATTATTATATAAAATAAAAGAAATACAAAAAGAAAAGAAAATGGCTTAATAAAGTTTTTTCTAGAGCAGCTGAAATTATAAGTTAATAACAAACAGCCGAATCGATCTAGCTATGGACGGCAAACATTTAAAATTCTCAAAATTTTGAAAATTTTATAAGGGGTAACATCGTTAAAATTGTCAAAAAAAATGTACAAAAAATTAAAATGTTTAAAAATATAAATTGAGTATGCAGGTTTATTAATCTAATAAAAAGTATCACAAAACAGCTTTCCGAATAGAATTTAATGTATTTTTGGCTAAATTATGAGTATTTTAAACTTTGATTTATCGATAAAATTGTTATAATATTTAGGATAAAAACTGAATCAAAGAATGTGAATATTATGATCGATCTTCGATTGCTCATATGTACGTCTTGTTCTCAACTGGGATAATTATTATTTAAAATAAAACAAATACAAAAAGAAAAGAAAATGGCTTAAAAAGGTTTTTTCCAGTTCTGTTTTTAGTTCAGTTTTTTAGTTCTGGTCAGGAAAAAAGCTTATCAGATCGTCGGAGTTCCGCCTCTTTAACAGTCAAAGCGGAAGAAAATGAATATAAACAAGAATGCTAACTTTGGCACAATCGTTCCTATGGCAGCTATATATATATATATATATATGTATATATAAAGTCCACCGATTCGCCATGCCCCGACTTGTATACTAGTAAAATTATGTAGAAGAATAACTCCATAGTTTCATTCAAATAGTTTTCTTCTTAAGCTCTTGCTCCAAAACACAACTCGCAAAAGTGAGCATATGATTCCCAACTGATTCTAACATCCCCGTAATGGAGTGATTTCTGCCAGCCAAGTCTTAGACATGTGTTGTGTTACAGAAGTTGCAAGTCATTGTTTATTTGTGTTCTAAGTTAGTAACTGATCAGGCTTACTGGTCATAGATACTTACTACTTATAGTTAATTACTGATCATAGTTGTTTACTAAACAGTTATTTACTGATCATAGTTACTTAATTGATATTTATTGATCTAGTTACATACTGGGAAAAACGGAAAAAGGACTTGATATAATTACATAACATCGAAAAGTAAAGGTTTTTATTTTAATTAAGTTCTCAAGTTATTTTTTTTTTCTTTTGGAGAAAGGAGAATGTAATAAGGTAACCGATAAAGTTTTTAATATGTTGTGAGAAAGAAAGAGAAAGGCCATTGTTCTGCTACTTGAGCACGTCTCTATTAGCTCGTTAGCATTATGTCTGCGTCTGAGGATTGTAAGCGTGCTGCCTTATAACTAGTTTTGTTTATGTGAGTTTTTAGTTGGTTTAGACATGTGTTTAACTGTTTAACCGATCCCTCAAAGCAAACTTGAATCTATTTAAATATATCATCAGTGGAGGCAGATGCGATCAGACGACATTATGCTATATATTTAAATATCCTTATAAATCAAAGAGAGGAGTGAATAACTTTAATAAGTCTTTTAAATTACCATAAACGTGTTTTCTTCACTTCAAGTTATTGACTATACCAAGCATTTTGGCATATTTTATTTGCTTGTCCCATTATAAATAATTATGGTAATTATTAAAGGCAATTAAAGCGAGTCCTGCATGCCCTGCGAGGAAATAAATCGAATGAAGACTCCTCAACCAGCCGACGACAGCAGTGAGAAGTATTTTTTGTTTAAATATATATAGATATAGTTAAACGTTAAAAATAAATCATCTAAGGAGATTTTTTACTAATGGCGCGAGACACCATTGAACAAATTTGAATTAAAGTGTAAGTTAGGATAATATAAAATAAACATGAACGATTATTTAATTCATTAAAATTCTCTAAAAAGAATAATCCACTATTCATAAAAAACAACTCTTGATTATCGTTCAAAAGCGATAATATAAAAGCTAAAGTATTTATCTTAATTTGTTTTTTGTATGCCATTGGTTAATTTTGCTAACATCACATGTATTATAAAATAATATAAATACTTGTTTACTTCTAACTAACTTGTTTACTTCTAACTAAACTAAATGGATAAATGTTATATATAAATAAATATATAGCAAGATAGGGTATCATACAAAAATCAGATAAACGATTAATGATTTGTATTACCTTGAAGGATGTTATAATTTCAGTCAGAAGATTACAACTCAATGAAGGAATCATTTGCGACCCTATAAACCATATATAGTCTTGATCAGCATTAACCGCCAAGTTAAACTAGACATGTCCACAAGAAAAAAAAAATTGTATAAATTTTTTCAACATTTTATGAGGTGTTAAAATCGTTAAAATTAAAAAAAATTTAATTTTTAAAAATATTAAATTGAGTATGCAGCTTTATAAATAAACAAAAACTAACACTAACTTTCTAAATTAACTAACACTAACTTTTAAAATTAAAATTAATGCATTTTTAGGTGAGTTATGACCGATTTCCCCTCAAAGTTTCGATCAAATTTGCAAACTGCAAGGGTATACAAATTTCGGAGTTACAAATTGCGAAGTTTTCTTCCTTTATTGAATTTAGTTATTACTTGTATAAGATTAAATCTAAAACGAATAAAACATGCTGAACTTAGGGAAAATATAACATTTTAACATTACTTAGTTATTTTTATCTTCTATAAATATGTCTGTGGGATTTTAAAATTTTAAAATATAATTTTGGAGACGGTTTAAAATTAGTGAAGATGGCGAAATTAAGGGCTTTGGTGCCATTTCTTTAATATAAAATAATATAATATGTGATTATTATATATATTATATAAACGATTATAAATTATTTTCTTTTATCTTTTTTTCCCCATTCATTATTTTGTATTCTTCTGTTTAAAATGCTTAAAAACGCATTATTAGCTAAGTGGATATTAACAAAAGAACCCGTGTTTATGTGGCCCCCAGTGATATGTTTAACTTTATCTGGTAAACATACTTATATCAGAAAATACATACATTTGCTTTCATAATTCATTTTTCAATTTCATGCAAAAGCCAAAAACAATTTGAATCATTTTATGGCCGAAAATAATGCAATGGGAAGTGAAATACGAGCGTTTCCTTTATTATTTCATGTTCTGGCACGCCCCCAATTCATATAAAATAAACAGGTATTGACAAAAGCTTGCAAATCAAGGCAGGGGCTTTGCCTTTTCCCCCGCCGAGTACGAGAGACGAGGTAAGAGGTACGAGGAGCGGAGGCATTGTGCTTTTTCAGCACGCATGCACTATCTTACTGAAAATTGAAAATGGCGAAGGGAAAAAATGGGGCCGCGTTTCGTTTGCCTTGTTGTCTCTGGGAACAAAACGCTTTTCCGCCACGCTCCCGGTGTTGGGCCACCTTTGTGGTGCATGGGTGTAATCGCGGGCCCGATGATTGGTCGCGACTCCCTGAGCAACCCACTCGGAGATTCGGCATAAACAACACACCTACGGGCTGCCATTGGTACGCGGCCCAGACAAGGACGACCAGACCTGATGCAGACCTGTTTTCCCCAGCAATGCCGGACCGCTTGCCTTCTCGCTCGCAATATGTATGTATAACACTGGACGACGGATGGCCAACTCTCCGATCCGGTCTTGCTCTCAGCTCGCTCGAGCTCGAGCCAGGCCTCGTCGTTCCTTCCATAAAACATGAAGTTTCGCTGCCCCTCGCATTAGTCTTAACGCTGCTGCCGCCGAGTGAACATTGCTGCTCCGAGCAAAGTAAAGTAAACTGAAGTCAGAATAAAAGTAAAGGGGACTGCTGCGGACGGCTGACTGTGTGTGAAATTTTAAACGACGTCCCAATGCCACGCCCATTGAAAATGTCTTACGGTGATCAGAAGCCTCCATACTCGTACATATCATTAACGGCCATGGCCATTATACACTCGCCGCAACGACTGCTGCCGCTCAGTGAGATATATCGATTTATTATGGAGCAGTTTCCGTATTACCGGAAAAATACGCAAAAATGGCAAAACTCATTGCGCCACAATTTGAGTTTCAATGATTGCTTCATCAAAGTGCCCCGTAATGTGACAAAGGCGGGCAAAGGATCCTACTGGACGCTCCATCCCATGGCCTTTGATATGTTCGAGAACGGTAGCCTGCTAAGGAGACGCAAGCGATTCCGCGTCAAGCAGCTAGAGAAGGATCTTTCAAATTGGAAACTAGCCGCCGCCGCCACTGCCGCTGCCAACAACGAATTGGTGTCCCACTACATGGATGATCAGCTAACACAATTGGGTTTTGTTGAACCACCAAGGATTGCTCCGCTTCCTCCCAGCAACTACGATCTCGGGAATGCATCTGTTTCTGCCTTGTCAACTTACAAGGCACCACCACCACCACCGCCGCCGCCGTCGTCTATAGTTCCATCGTTAAGCCAATCGCCGCCGGTTCGTCCTAAGCGTGCTTTCACCATCGAGAGTCTGATAGCTCCGGATCCCAAGGGATTAGCGCATTTGGACTATGGAAGTCCCGTGGCCGACGGCTTGAAGAAGCAGCCACTGTTCAATTTGCCATTTAATTTCAACGAACTGGCCGCCCAGTACCACATGTACTTTCCCAACTTCCTGTACAACAGCCAATATGGCAATTTGCCGTGCTATCACAAAACACCGCCGCTTTTTCACAACGGTCCCTTGCCGGTATTTTGAAAGTATTTGAAAAGTGTTTTAAGTTCGAAAACTCAACTGACTAGCTGTCCCATTATTATAGTTTTATGTTATTTACTTGTGTACTCATTTTAATTTAAATATATATATATACTGTAAACGATTGAATTTAGACGATCTCTAAAGTCAATAAAAAGAACTACGCGTCATATTAAACCTAGAGTTTGTGATCACTTTATTTGGAGTCACTTTTTAGGAATAACGTTTTCTTAACAGAAAAACAGCCAACCAACAAGTTTAGTGCTATAATTATAGTTTTGGCAATGAAGCGACGGTCTTCACTTTCTGCCAGAAACATTGTGTGTGTGTACACAAGCACGAAACATCTAATCTGTTGTTTGTTGCCATAGATAATTATAGCTGGAAAACAAACTACAGGTTGTAAGTAAATAGACCTCGATTAATTCGATTACAGGTCGAAAATAGGTCCGCAATGGTTAACTTGCCATCCTACCTACCTACCTCGTTTTGCAAATCATTTGCATCCCACACATGCACATACTACACCCTGGAGTTGCTATTGTTTCTCATTAGCTGTCAATCATCCTTACGTACATATGTTTGACTTCAACCCCAGTCGGAATACTTGGCTCTTGTTACCCATCTACCAACTACCATCCACATACATAAACCATAAACTACTGCAGCAAAGAAGAGCGGGGAGCACGGTCGATACGGCGGCGAATGCTAGTTGTTATGTCTTACAAGAAAAGACGGATAGCTTCAGCATTCGATTTGGAAAATACCCTGTCAAAGGAAATAGATGTAATATCTTTCAAATTTAATCCAAAACACTGAATTGGTAATTAAAAAGCTGGTAAGCTGGTATGTAAATAACAATATAAGAGCTCAATTTATATGCATAGAAATCTGTCTATATTCTTGAGCACAATGCTTTTAAAGTAGATATCAAATAAAGAGCTCAAGTGCTGAAATAACTAAATATTATCACCTAAAATCTATTAGTACTTTGGGGAATTCGTAAAATTAAAATTCATTACACTAAATTAAGTACTAGCTATGGGAACTACGCAAATCAGATATATATTTTTCTATATTCAATTCAGTACGAATTTCAGATCAGAGGTAAGTATAAATAGATGCATTAAACTAATATTTATATAATTAATCTAAATTAATAACTAATTCAAGTAATCATTGTGTATCTTATATATTGTAAGAATAAAGAGGTTAAATTATAAACAAGGAAGAAACTGACTTCGGGAAGCCGAAGTTTATACACCTTAGCAGGTTTGCAATCGAATAGTATCAAATAGAAAATTGATTATAACTAACGTCTGATTTTTTAGCGTTGTTTTGCCTATGCGAATTTAAATTGTATATATATTTGAGCTAATATAAAATTAAAGGCTTTACTGTATCTCATTAGGTAGTGTGTGTGCTTACCCTTAATCAAGTAGATCGACTTCTTGGTAACATCCTCCGAACAGGGCACTGTTCATTTTCCGGGCGAAGGTTCCGTTCTGTAGTGGCTCTTCGCTGTGTTTTTAGGTGTTGGTTTAATTAGCCCAATTATAAAGGTGTGAGTAAGCCATAACACATTTTAGTATCCTCCAATTTTAGCACATTCGACCAAATATTTGCATATGCATGCATCTACGCTTTTAGATATGTACATACATACATATGTGTACACCAGAAGAGGTTACATGTGTACATACATACTTAGTGGGAAGCGTTTCAGTTTTTGTACAAAATACTTACATACATATGTATGTAGTTTAAGCCCTGGTATCTACAAAAGATTATTGCATTGTTATGCGTACATACATATGTATATTATATATAGGATCCTATTTTACAATGTACTTACCATAACTAAAAACAGCGCCATTTCTTATTGAAGTACAACCTTTTGCCAACTAGATCCGATCTTCGTTCGTAAACAGTGCAAATTAGCGAAATCAGCCGAACTTGGATACATGTATAAGGGACATCCAGGCAATTGTCCACCCGTCAGTGCATGTACATATGCTCCCCTAACACTCTAATATTATTTTCACAATAGTTAAAGATCACTTTTACGCAGCAAATCTAATTAGCTTCACGAAGATATAATTAAAAGGACACTGTAAAACGATACAAATTATTCATCGATAAGTAATCAGAAGGGCTGGATCGGAATGGCGGAAATGGAATGGGAATCCTAAATCGATATTCTGTTATACGGCGCAATGCAATATTCAGCATCTAGTGGACATCTGTTTTGCTAATTATTTAAATAAACATTAAACAATATTTACTTAACATTTAAGTTTAATTTATGTGAAACACCTGTAATCACCCAACCAAATTCAAACAATTAAATAACGTGGCCGTAAAAGTAACACACACAATATAACACACAATGTCAATATATATGAAGGAAATATGTAATTTTAGAATTTTTTAATATAATTATACATATAATTAACATTATTAAATAATTTATAATGAATATCATATAAAATCATACTGAAAATAAATATTTTTTACAATTTTTGTATATATGTATCTACTCATATTCCATACATATTATTGTAACACGACATAGTATTTTATGTGCAGAATATCGCAGAGGAAACTTTAAGTTCTATAAAATGAATTTACTAAAGTTACCAATCGTAATATAAGCCCATAAAGCTGCATAAATTGTTATTTTTGTTAATATAATTATTTTATCTCCGCTGCAATTCCGTTTCGTTCCCACAAAGTAGACTGTCGATTTGCTAACATTTTCTCGTCGTTTCACACTCGGTCACACTTAAATACCGAAAGTTCCGTTGTTTTTTAGGGCGTTTTTGCCATCTTGCTTCTTTGTGGTTGTTTGCCTATCTACATTTTGCCGTTTTTTGTAAATGTGAGTGTACCAAATTTCAGTAACACAATTTAACATTTAGGCGTTATGGTGAATCTTGTGCACGAATTAAAAATGAAATGTTTGTCTTGTCACCCTGTCGCCTAGCCCATTGACAAGTTGCACACAAATAGCTTCAAATAGCGCAGCTCCGCTACTTCGTTTGTCCTTTGTTGATAGTATCGCGCACCGAGAGACGAAACCCAAAGAAAAGAAAAGAGAATCGAAGAAAAGAAAGAAAACTTGCATTCCGTTGAAGAGGCATTCGACACTGAGCAGCTAGCGAGCATGTTCAGTATAAGCGAGCTGTGCTGCATGTTCTGCTGCCCACCATGCCCCGGCCCCATTGCGGCCAAACTGGCCTTCCAGCCACCGGAGCCCACGTACAAGCTGACTCCGGCGGACGACACGAACATTAGGTACAACCTGCAGCTCTTTGACCGCGCCGAGTGGCAGTATTCCGAGCGGGAGAAATCGAAAGTAGAGGCCTTCTTTACGCGCACGTCGCGTGGCAACCTGATTACCTGCATCTATGTCAGGTGCAGCAAGAATGCCAAGTACACGCTGCTCTTCTCCCACGGGAACGCCGTGGACCTTGGACAGATGAGTAGCTTCTACCTAACCCTCGGCTCGCAGATCAACTGCAATATCTTTGGCTACGACTACTCCGGCTACGGCATGAGTGGCGGGAAGCCGTCCGAGAAGAATCTCTATGCAGACATAGAGGCGGCCTGGCAGGCGATGCGAACTCGGTAAGAATTGATTTTTGCAAATACTTTTATCTCCATTCCTGACCACTTTATTCTCGCTTCTTAGGTTCAACATCAGCCCGGAGACAATAATCCTGTATGGTCAAAGCATTGGCACCGTGCCGACTGTTGATCTGGCTTCGCGTCACGAAGTCGGAGCTGTGATACTCCACTCGCCACTGATGTCGGGCCTGAGAGTCGTGTTTAGAAACACAAAGAGAACCTGGTTCTTCGACGCCTTCCCCAGGTGAGTGTCTGCGTACGTTGATTTGCGATCAAACCCCATCTGATCTTATCTGGTTTCCAAACAGCATTGATAAGGTGGCTAAGGTGAAGGCTCCGGTTCTGGTTATTCACGGAACCGATGACGAGGTCATCGACTTTTCCCATGGCATCGGAATCTACGAGCGGTGTCCTAAGACAGTGGAGCCGTTCTGGGTGGAGGTAATTATGAGTATTTGTTTGTATTCTGTGTTGATTGATTGCTTGCCCCAGAGCAAGTTGGTGCAGTCGTGAGCGAGCTTTTGTAATAAGAAATGAATGTAATTAATTAAAATAGCTTGGCATTGCTTCGGAACTCAACTATATTTATAGCTATTGAAACTCATTGAAAAATAATCATATTAATTTAAAAATATGGTTTTACCCAATATGTTTTCTACAAAAAGGGGGTATTGCGACTTTATCAATAGAAATCATATTACTAATTCGATTAAACTAGTTGGCTTTAAAAATAATCATTGTAATTTTTCCAGGGCGCCGGACATAACGATGTTGAACTGCATCCGCATTATTACGAGCGACTTCGCAAATTCCTGTCGGTGGAGCTCGTCAAATGACAATTAAAGAATAATGTCGATGGAGGCGTTAGCGACACTACTTCCGGTGTAATAACCAATTCGAACCCTGCCGCAGCTAGTGTGTCCCTAAGTTCAAAGCATCCAAATCCTGCAGCGGCTGCAAGCGGAGGCGGAGGCGAGACAAGTAAAAAAAATGTGGAAGCAAATAACAAACGGATTGAAAACGATGGTTTGTAAATGAAACATATATTATCTAGCAGCTCACATCAATACATACATTCGAGAATTGCATTTTAACAAAGATTATACACATAAATATATATATATATATATGAATACATATATATAACAGTTAGTTGTGAGGAGGTTTGTACCAAGATCCCCATATATATATTTACAGCATTGTGATCCTGGTCCCCGTATTAATTCAATAAGCCTAGGTCATATCATCTAACTTAAACTTGTAAATGATATTTCATAACATAATATTCGGTAGAAAAAATCAAAACAAGTAACAAAAACAAACTACATTCGGTTTGAAAATGAATATTCAGCAATACGCTTCATCAGTAATATGGTTTTAATATGTAAGGACAAAAAGTTTGAATAAAGCAATCTTTTGATACTTTGAAAGTTTACCTTTTACTTGTAAGGATGCAATTTTTAGTACAATTTTTTATAATTATTAATCTTGTTGCTTTGATTGATGGCCTCTTCTCTTCTCTTACGCTTCCTCTCTTTCTCTTATAAGCCCATTGTTTTTGGAGTTTATCTAATCTGTATGTTCGGTCTTTTTGCAGGTGCCTCAAATTCCAGCCAGAGCTCTACCAAAGCTCTGGAGCAGAAGTTTCTTTAGCATAAACAGTCGGGCTCGTATTCCAAAGCCCAACCCTTCTCACCACAGCTCTCAAAAGTTGAATTATCAAACAAATCATGTGGAAACAGCAGACATAACAAGCAAAATAGGAAAGAAGACCCACCATTAACTGATCTGAAGTCGAACGGCTTCTTTGTTTCTCGATTAAAACAACCAAATATCGCTCCAACACTTCCAGTACTCTCTCCACATTCACCAATGAATGCTAATATATATTTAAATAGCCAGCATACCCAGCTTTCCGGTCGATATTTAAACAATAAGGTGTCCCAACAGACGGATGCTGTGAATAGTGTGAAACGAGTGGCATCGAACAGATCTCTAAAGGACAAAGGTCAGAACGTTTTATCCATTTCATCGACAACCATAAAGTGCAACTGTGAGAAGCCCCTCAAATCCAATGGATCCGACTCCGAAGCCAACGACGAAATCAAAATTAAGTTCAGTTCAGAAGCGAGTGTAGCTGACCACAGCAAGGGCTGTTCGCAATTGAAGTGTGCCGTTTCTCCGAAGCTGTCATTACATAAAAGTGGCTTTCAGCAGGCCATCATTATTTCCGATGAAAGCGAAATCAGAAAATCACCGCGAACAGCTCCCCATAACACGAAACAGCTTGCCAGCAATGCAGACAATCAGTTTTACCGCCAACTTACTCACAAAATTAGCAAATCCGAGCAAACTTCACCCAACAATGTGGAGATAGATAAGGCCAACTTTTTGTATGAAACGAATAACAGAAGTACGGGCTGTTTGGTCTATCCCTCGGATCCTTGGATTAAGAATGCGGACATTAAAAGCAACATCTCACCCAAAGCGGAAAAGCATTTAAACTTGCATCACAACATAGATCCTTGGGTAAGGCGTCACACTGAAGATGTCACCGTGGAGATGGTGACACGGCTTCCCAAAAAGAATATCTATCGCGAAAAATCTCTTTCTTCCATAAACAATAAACTGCTGTCAACTAGGACTGAGAAATCCAAGTGCGTTAAGCCACAACTGAAGCATTCGAAAACTGCAATTGATGATCCAACCGATGATCATGTGTTTTTAAAAGAGCCAGGACTGCTATTTGCCCCATTTTCCCCACAACACCGCAACGCATCGCATAAGGCTTGGTCCCTGGACCAAAGCAAATCCGCCAGCTATATACCAGATAAAGTCAAGGAGATTTCCAGTCCGTTACCGAACCATGTTAGAAAATCAGTATATCAAAATACTAATAGCAACTTACTTTGTCCGAACGATATAGCACTGCACTCTAGACACAGCTCCTTATCGATTCCCACGCAATCCAAGGAGGAACTTCCTCTCAATATTCGTCGGTTGTCTGAGCAGATTCGCGAGCCACCGTTGGAGCGAAACTTATCGTTGTCTCTCAGTGATCGGAACGTTAGTAAACAGCCAGCTTCTGACTGTGCTGGCGACCGTGAACCACAGAAGACGAGAATGCCAGACAGATTTTACGCGAATAGGGATGCCGCTGTGCAGAGTGTAGAGAGCCATCATGAAGACTTTATCTCCTTAAAACGAGCCCCCAAAGATTCCACATCTGTTAATAATGTAAAGCCCTTTACGACTACTTATAAGCCTGATCCACTTCTAGAAACCACCTGTTAAAACCATTCGCTAGGAAGCCGACAGCCGAAAGCCGATATTCAAGTGTCTCTGCATAGCTCATTTATAGGTCATCAAACCATAAAAACATATAGTATGTCTTATATATATATATATCAATCGAATCTAATTATGAATATAATAAAACATTAATACAACTATTTTTAGTAGTACTTTAAGTTTGAAATTTTTACAGTGATTTTGCATTTATATTAAGTAACAAACACGATAATCGCCCTGCCAACAATGGGGCTGAATTCTAGGCTTAACAACATTCGCAAGCATATATATATGTGTGTAATAGTGTACTTTCTCCTCATTTTATTGTCATTTTACATATTTGTTGTAATACATTTTATAGTTATAATAAAATCTTTATAAAGTGCTAAGTGAGAAAAGTATTTCATCGGACTGTTTTGGGATTTCCCCCCTGATGCGTTGTATACGTTTTGACAGTTGGTTTATTATCTCAGGTTGAAGCTGTTGGTAAAAGCTGATCTACATGACGGCATGTAGATAAATAAAACTTTCACATTGCGTAACAGAGACGATAACTATTTTGAATACCCTACCACAGAGTATTTCTATTTTCCAAAAGCTTAGAAACTAGCATTTACCATGGGCTATTTTGTATATAGGGCACTCAACTAAAGTGTCTTAAATTTGGTGAAGCCCACGCAAGGCAAAGCCTCTATTAACGTTGACACCATAATTACAATCGACTTGGCCTTTCACCGAAATACACAAATAAATAAATTAAGTTTGCTTTGGATTAAGTCAATATAGTGTTTATTGATACCGCGAACAATTCAGAAAGTATTTATTATATAATCCTCAACTCGTATAAAGGCAGATTGCCGAGCAGATAAAAGACAGTTGTTGCTGGCGTCTTGTGAAATACATTTATTGAATTTTTAAGAAATGTTAAGTTTAAGAGTAATTTTAGCTCTAAATACATTTTTGTTTGGAGCTCTATATGGAGAGTGTGCTCGATCGGTGCCAGAACTAAGCAATAATAATTTAAAGAATTCACTCATTGAAGCTCAATCGCTTGGAAGAATCGTTAACCGACAAAGCCATAAGGAAATAATAGATCAAAAAATCGTACAACAAGACAGTTATGGAAACGATATAACTCGGTCTTCGAATATTGATTCAGGGTATCCGTGTGTCCATGGGATACCTCAGATGAACGTAATTGAAATTCCTCCAGTTACACAAACAGAGTTTGAAACTCAAATCACCAGTCACTCAACTGTTTCAGCGGGATTTCCAATGCAAATTCCGAATCCACGTCCAGCTCAGCATATTCATTACCATTACCTCGTTCCGAATGAGACTCCTACAAGACCTAGCATAACTTATGCATCACATTCGGAATTAAATCTAGAAAATAAAAATTTTGTGGCCACGGCAACCCAGTCATCGCACATATATGAGCATTACGATCAGCTTCAATATAGCAATCAACCTTTATACTCCCATGCGGAACATAATGGAAATCTTTACGATTCACCAGATGAGCATCAAGCTCAAGGATCAGAAAATACATCGTTTTATGAATCGATAAGAAGTCCGATCGAAACTTTTAGAAAACCTATTCCAAGTCATACGCAAGACTCTATTTTAAATACTGTTAAACCGGAAATTGTTCTGAAAGAGCAATTCAATCAAAGCCAACAAGCAATTGTGTTAACAACAAAAAAACCTGAGGTGTTCTTTATAAAATACCAAGATAATGCAAATATTAAAACAACGACATTTCCACCAAACCATAAACCAGATGATTCTTCAGATACGATTTCTGACGGCAGCGGTTTGATAGACATACGATCTGGAATCGATGAAAGTAACACCCTGGATAGTGAACACGAGTCCAATGAACATTCCTCATATAATGTTCCCTTAAATTAAGAACTACAAAGATTTATTTAAGATATTTGAAAACAATTAAATTTAACAAAATTAAACAAAAAAATGAATATATCAGATTTATCTATAATGATTTTGCCTAGTTGCTGTTCTTGTCCTTCAATAGATCTGAAAGCTTTACAAAAGAACTTTCCAAGTCGTTAAAGGGAGTAATATTTATGCAATGAACATTTGGTGGGCAGCCGACTGATAGATCCCCCGCTTTCAATACCTCTAATTTACTGGCATAACTCCTTGTGAATTCATCTGTATGGAGATATTCAGGTTTCTTCAGCTTCACAATTTCATTCTAAATAAAAATAAAATTATTTACATAAACAAACTATGGAGAAATTCACAAAAAATACCTCCTTCGTGATGCTAATGTACTGAACTAAAGGATGATAGCTAAAGAATTCAAAAGTGTTCTTTATGGTGGGAAGAAAGAAGCCTTTATCGATCGATGAAAGTAACACCCTGGATAGTGAACACGAGTCCAATGAACATTCCTCATATAATGTTCCCTTAAATTAAGAACTACAAAGATTTATTTAAGATATTTGAAAACAATTAAATTTAACAAAATTAAACAAAAAAATGAATATATCAGATTTATCTATAATGATTTTGCCTAGTTGCTGTTCTTGTCCTTCAATAGATCTGAAAGCTTTACAAAAGAACTTTCCAAGTCGTTAAAGGGAGTAATATTTATGCAATGAACATTTGGTGGGCAGCCGACTGATAGATCCCCCGCTTTCAATACCTCTAATTTACTGGCATAACTCCTTGTGAATTCATCTGTATGGAGATATTCAGGTTTCTTCAGCTTCACAATTTCATTCTAAATAAAAATAAAATTATTTACATAAACAAACTATGGAGAAATTCACAAAAAATACCTCCTTCGTGATGCTAATGTACTGAACTAAAGGATGATAGCTAAAGAATTCAAAAGTGTTCTTTATGGTGGGAAGAAAGAAGCCTTTAACACAATATTGGCAATTTTCCGGAATATTAATCACTCCGCCCACCGGCGAATTCAACATCCGGTAAGCCCTCTGGGAGGCTTTAAGACTGTTTACCAGCTCCTCGGCTGTTCTGTCTTCTTCACTGTTCTCCGCACAGTTTGAAACAATCACGGGACTCTCAGAACTTTTGGTACTTTGACTCATCTGGGGGAAAATTTTAATAATTTTTAACTATATTGAAAAAAGCAGAAGCAAACTGAGTTACCATTTTACTCAATGAAGTTTTGCTTTCCTCCAAAACTTCTAAAATAAATGCTGTACTCTCCTCATCGTCGGGCTTGTCATCTTTGAACAAACCATTTTCATAATTTGGAGAAAAGGCAAGTAGCAGATTTTCAGATATTTTCTGAGCATGACCACCACCACGAAGTCGAGACGCCTTGGAGTCTTTATTCTTCAAAATAAAATATTAATTATTCCTCAGATGAGACAGAACTTCCTGCTTACCTCGCTTAAGGGACAATCATCTTCAAACATTTCATTATTACAGGACCAATCGGTACTGGCGGCCATTAGGTCCTCCGGTTTTGGCTTGAAACACTTACACCAGCATGTGAAAGGATAAATAATAAAGAAGAATACATTCACAATAAATATTCGAATCCTCGATGTGCAAGCATAATATTTGCCAGGTTGGACAGTCTCGAAGCCCCATTTATCTATCGACTGAATACAGAGGCCAAAAATAGCTTTCAAAAGACCTGTGAAATAAACCCATTTTATATTTTTATTCAACCATTTAAGGTTTCAAGAACTTACCGAATATAAGAAGCCAAATTAGAATAATTATTATAATAGTTTGAACTTGATAAAATATGTTGAACGACATCTTTTTGTGGCTTTCAGTCGAACAGTCCGTGATGCAAACATCATTTTTTTCATTTCCAGGCGGGCAATTATATATGAGTCCCGCCTCTTCCTGTGCCCTACGGCTCATTTTCTCACAAACATTGTAATTTATATAAGTTTCTAATCTTTCCATGCAATGACAGCGACATCTCCCAATGCAGAAGCATCTGGAATTGACCTTAATGTCCATGGACCTCTTGGCAATAATACCGGCTTTTAAGTCAGCTGATTTCATAAAAAAGCTTCTATTTGCATTATTTAACTCAGATTCCTTAACAACCACTGTAATATTTAATAGAATCTAGCATTTTTGGAAAAGTATGCTTATTTACTTACCATCACAAGTAAATTTCTTGTTTTTCTTTGCTCCATTTATGAAGGGTAGTAAAAAGGTAACACTTTGCCCAATATCTGGTAGTAGTTGCTTTCTAAGACTAGTCGTACTTAATGCACTTTTGGACAGAGGACAATTATAAACATATATGGAATATTCATGTGCCTCTAGACCCTTGTTGATAACATCGATGGAAATATGAAGGGCATCCTTTGTGGTTGCATCGGTAATAATGTTGGATATCTTTATCACATGCTTATTTCCCACCATAAAAGCATTCTCCCGAAAGGGGATCTTGATTTTGATACTAAACTCTAAGTGTGTATAGGACACTCATAATAATTAGTTTTAATTAGGATTTAAATATACATTACCTGGTACCCTTTCGCCTCGAATATTTAGGCAAAGATTCTTGTCGTTGTGGGGACACATTTGTAAGGCCTTCATGGATTCTGGAAAATAGCCTAGGGTGTCAATTGTTTTAATGGCATCCTCATCATCGTTCTTTATTTCACGAATGGAAATATCCTTCTTGGAATTGCCAATTAGAAAGCCTTTCCCAATGTTATTCTGCATTTCCGTTAACGTGTCCAAGCTCTTGGCCCCGACCACTTGTTCATCATTTGCTAATGGAATTAAAAGTTTGTGATTTAAAAATCTTGCAGATTTTTCCTGTCGCAAGGTTCCGATGCGTGTAGAAAATATCATTGATATGTTTTTATTTGCAAATATACCCGCCACACTATCGACTCTAAAATATTGATGAAATTAGTTTTAAAATTCTATAATTTTTTATATATAAATCAATTTATTTTCTTTAAATACTTACGTTACAATGGGAGCAATCCTCCACCAAGTATTATGTCGTCTTCTGAAAATCCGCAATTGAGTTGTTAAATACGGAATGGGATCATTTATATTAAACACGCCATAATTTAAATCTCCTTTACTGAAAATGAAAATAAAAAAATACCAACAAGCTTAATACATTTTGTACAATAAAAATTCTTAAAACCCAATTACCTCCGACTAGGAGCTCTGGATAATTTGGATATTTCACAATTGCATACGCTGGGATTGCTTACGCAACCGCAGGATTGAGAAGCCAGGTTTCCTTCACGATTTACCTTGCACTTTTCGCATGGTATCATATCTTGTGGTGTTAATTTTTCACCGATTTCCGCTTTTTCCCTATGAACCTCAGAGTCTACACCGCCAGGTAAGGGTTTTCCTCCTATTTTTTTGTTCTTTCCTCCACAAGTATCACACGGAATGACATCGTTCAGTTTTTCTTGTGCAATAGAGTCTTCCATTTTACTTTCGGAACTTTTCGGTTCTGTCAAGGCACTGCAAAGTCTTGCTGGGGGCTTGTCACCCTTTTTTTTATTCTTTCCACCACAAGTATCACATGGAACTTCACCATTCTCCTCAATTGTTTGCAAAGTAAGCTCTTTCTGTGGATTGGGATTATTTATATCATTTTTTATAGTATGTCTTGGAAAAAGGCTTCGTCTTATTCTTTGTAATTTTTAGGCTCAGATCTGTAGGGGTTAGTCCTGGGATAAGATAAATACGGTTTCTTTTGAGGAAACTTTGCGTATCCATAGGGTTGACCAGGGTCGAAATATAAGTCTTTGGGATTAAAATTATTTGGCATAGTTTTGGAATTTTTGTAATCAAATTGTTGGCCAGTTTTATAAATATAAAGATCTGTATGAAAAATATAAAGTTTAAGTTAAAAATTTAAATAGAAATGTAAGGAAAACCTACTTTCCGGATCTCCACGATTTATATTATACAGTATGGTATTACCATTTTTGTCATCAAATGTTTGATCATTTTCATAAACCTTTTGTTCTGTCATGTAAATACATTTCAATTAGAAGTTTAAATATAAGATATAATAAAACAATAACTTACTCTCAAAACTCTCCCTCATATGTTGACTAATAATAAAATCAATATCTGTTTGTGCTAATGAATAATCATTATTACTGCTAGCATGCTCATTAACATTAAACTGACCATTGTCTTTTGAATGTGGAACATCACTAACTTTGGAAAGACTTTTCGCGGGCTCATTAAAACTATATCTCTCCTGTTCTCGGCTGCTTGGATAATTAGGTCGGGATATATTCTCTGCTGTCTTAGAATTATAATATCCCTTTTTTATATCATCATCAGGACCTCTTCTTTGGTATTGGTCATATACTTTATAAATATTATTCTCAGCTGCTTTAGATTTATAATAATCATTTTTTCTGTCATATTCAAGATCTATTCCTTTTAGTAGATCCTTTTCCTTAAAACCATTCTCAGCAGTCTTGGCATTATAATATTTATATTTTCTGTCAAGGCCATTAAATCTTTCTTGTGGCAGATCACTTTCTTTCTCAGTTTTCTTGGCATTATACAATTCATTTTTTCTGTCAAGTTCGGTAATTCTTTCTTGTATAGGATCACTTCCATTATAATTACTCTCAGTTGTTTTGCCATTATAATATTCATTTTTTCTGTCATATACAGGATCTTTTTCTTGTGGTAGACCTAATTTATAAATATTATCAATTGTTTTGGCATTGTAATATTTATTATTTTTGTCATATTCAGGAACTATTTCTTCTGGAAAATCATTTTTCGAATAAATAATATTTTCAGCTGTCTTAGCAATACAGTTTTCATTTTTGATTTTATTTTCAGGGACAGTTCCTTGCGGTAGATCACTGCCTTTATAAATATTTTCAGCTGTCTTGACATTAAAATATTCATTTTTTCTGTCATATTCGGAAATTGCTTCTTTTGAAGGATTTCCTACTTTATAAACATTATCAGTTGTTTTAGAAATTAAATACTCATTTTTTCTGTCATACTCAGGAACTTCTTCTTTTGAAGGATTGCTACCTTTATAAATATTATCAGTTGTTTTCGCATTGAAATATCCATTTTTTGTGTCATATTTAGGAACTGCTTCTTTTGATGGATTACTTTCTTTAAAAAAATCAGTTATTTTAGCTTTATAATATTCAAGAACTCCTTTTGGTGGATCACTTCCTTTATTAATATTATCAGTTGTTTTCGCATTGAAATTTTCATTTTTTCTGTCATATTCAGGAACGGCTTCTTTTGAAGGATTACTTTCTTTAAAAATATCAGGTATTTTAGCTTTATAATATTCGAAAACTCCTTCTTTTGGTTGATCACTTCCTTTATTAACATTATCAGTTGTTTTCGCATTGAAATATTCATTTTTTCTGTCATATTCAGGAACGGCTTCTTTTGAAGGTTTACTTTCTTTATAAATATCAGTTATTTTAGATTTATAATATTCAGGAACTCCTTCTTTTGGTTCATCACTTCCTTTATTAATATTATCAGTTGTTTTCACATTGAAGTATTCATTTTTTCTGTCATATTCAGGAACGGCTTCTTTTAAAGGATTACTTTCTTTATAAATATCACTTATTTTAGCTTTATAATATTTAGAAACTTCTTCTGTTTTTGGTAGATCACTTGTTTTATAAATATTATCATTTGTTATAGCATTTAAATATTCATTTTTTGTGTCATATTCAGGAACGGCTTCTTTTGGAGGATTCCTTCCTTTATAAATATTATCAGTTATTTTAGCTTTAAAATATTCTATAATTCCTTTTGGTGGATCACTTCCTTTATAAATATTATTCGTTGTCTTAGCTTTATAATATTCATTTTTTCGGTCATATTCAGGAACCTTTTCTGCTGGTAAATTATATCCTGGATAAATAATATTCTCAGGTGTATTACCATTATAATATTCATTTTTTATTTCATGTTCAGAAACTCTTTCTTGCCGAATACCATTTCCATTGTAAGCATTTTCACTTGACTTAGCATTATAATATTTATTTTTCCTATCATGGACAGGAACTTTTTTATGTTCATTATATCTTTCTTGAAGATCACTTCCTTTATAAATATTCTCAGTTGCCTTGACATATTGTGGTAAATATTTTTTAATAAAAATATTACTCTTGGCTGCATTGGCATTAAAATAATCGTAATTTCTGTCAATTTCAGGAACCCTCCCTTCATTTTCCTTGTAAATATTATTCTCAGCTGTCTTACCATTATAATATTTATTTTTAATGTTTTGTTCACGAATTCTTTCTTCTAGAGGATAATTTCCGGTATAAATATTATGTTCAGCTGTCTTAGCATTATAATAATCATGTTTTCTGTCAAGTTCAGGATTTCTTCCTTGAGGTACATCATTTTCCTTATAAATATTATTCTCAGCAATTTTAGCAGTATAATAATCCGTATTTTTGTCATATTCCTGAACTTTTCGTTGTTTTGGATCATTTCCAATATTAAAATTATTCTCCGTTGTCTTGGCATTATAATATTCATTTTTACCACCATATTCTGGAACTACTTCTTTTGGTGGATTACTTCCTTTAAAATTATTATCACCATTATAATATTCATTTTTGGCTGGTAAATCATTTCGTGTGTTTACATTGTTCCCAGCTGTCTTACCACTATAAAACTTATTTATAATTTCATTTTTAAGAACTCTTTCTTTTGGTAAGTAGTTTTTTGTGTGAATATTATCATTTTTCTTAACATTATAATATTCATTTTTTATGTCCTGTTCAGGAACTCTTCCTTGTGGTAGGTAGTTATAAATGTTATTCTTAGCGGTCTTAGAATTATAATATTTAGATTTTATGGTTTGTTCACCGATTCTTTCTTCTGGTGGATAATTTTGCCTATAAATATTATCCTCAGTTGTCTTAGCTTTATAATAATTATCTTTTATAACATTTAGATCGGTTGGAACATTAAGAGGTTGCTTAAAATTAAATCTGTAATTTGGCTGTTTGTTCGGTGCATTATCTAAATCGGATAGACTATTATAGGGAAGCTTAAAAGTGCTCTCAACTGGTTTCTTTTCATATGGACTATCATTTACTCCAGGTATAATATTATTATGATATTCTTTATTCTTTATACTGTTTAGATTCTGACTACCAAGAGAGAGATAATTTTCATTCGAATAACTGCCAGTAGTCTGAGGATGGTTTTCATTTCGTATGTTATAAGACAAGGAATTCTCTGGCGTTCTAAAACTGGGCTTATAGTTTTTTATTTCTTCTGCAATGTTATTCGTTTTATATCCCCGTTTTATTTGATCAAGTCTAAGTAAAAAAACATATGCAAAATTAAAAAATTAATATCGGCTCTTACTACTTTTACACAACGTGTAAACTTACAGACTGAAGTCTTTCTCCTTTATATTATTTAGGTGGTAATCTCTTTCTTTCCTTCTTGGTAAGTGTCCTGCTTTGGCTTCTGTAATAAAATTATCACCTTATTTTAATATCCTTAGAATTTAACTTTTGTTTTACCTCATCTAAAAGGCGAATATCCCAAGTATCGGTATTAGGCACAGGTGCCTCTCGATCCTTTTTTATTAGGTTATTCTGATCATTCCTATCCAGTTCTTGATCATAATATTGATAAAACTTAAGTTTATTTTTCCTTTCGTCCTGATTTTTATTATTTTGGATTTTGTTGTCAACTTTCTGTAATGCCTTCGGGCTTTCAATCCGATCTGCAGCTTTAAATGTTTAAAAAGATTTTAAAAATATAATTATATAAATTACCCTTCCTTAAAGACGGATCTGTAACTTCAATAAGTCCAAGGTTTGAAATGTCATTTTGATTAAACATTGGTTCATGGTGATTCACATTTGTGCTTTTACTTGGAGTTTTCTGAACAAAAGCAATGTTGAATCCTATTGTTTGTTTACTCGTATATACTACCCCTTGATTTCTTTTAGCTGAAATTAAAGTAGCAAGATGACACACACTACCGACAAGTTATATATTGTTTTACTTACTTCTTGAAGCATCATTAATTTCACTTTCATTACGAGAAGGAGGATCTTGAAGGTTCTTGACATCATCTTGCTTTCTTTGTTCATATTTTTTTATATGTACATCGTTCCTTTTAGCATATGGGGAACCATCGCCTCGGCCTTGGTTTTCCGTACTTATGGAAAAAGAAGCGTCCTGAGTTGCATCTGATGGGGAACTTTGAACTTTCTCGACACCTTTTTGGTCTTTTATATTTATTGGACCACGAGGATCGTTTGAAACACAAGATTCGTTTAGACCAGATGGGGACCCTTGGACGCCGTCATCTTCACTTTCCCTCGCATTTATTGAAGGATAAGACTCGTTAGTATTACTAGATAAAGAGCCCTGACTGTCCTTGACATCATCTTCGATGGGTTGTTCATCTTCCCTATCTTTCATATTTTTTAAAGAATTTGGGTCATCAGCCCTAAGAGAGAGGGAGTCTTGAACGTCTTTGGCAAGATCTCCGGTGGCTTGTTCATCGTTAGTCTTACTAGACACTACGCCTTGCTTGGAACTGGTGGGTTTTTCATCTTCTCGTTCTCTGATATTTATCGAAGGTTCGTTGTTCTGATCAGATGGAGAATCTAAAACGACCTTGCCATCTTCATTATCCTTCATAGTTACTGAAGGGTTTGGTTCGTTGGGGTTAACAGATGGCGAGTCTTGGTCGTCCTTAGCATCATCTTTGGAGGGTGGTTCATCCTCACCCACTTTCATGTTAATTAAAGGACGAGGCCCGTCAATCTTTTGAGTTGGGTAGCCCTTGACCTTCTCCCGTTCTTTCATATTTATTGAAGGACGAGGTTGGGCACTCTGACTCGACGGTGGGCCTTTGGGGTTGTCATTTTTGGTGGGCTGTTCTTTCCTGAACTCTTCATGCTTAATTGACTGAAAATATATCTTTAGTTATTAACCTAATATGTAAATATATGAACCTCTACAGACTTCTTCATACTGAAGGGGATACATCACAACAGGTTCGCCACGACCAACCACTATCAAATAGGGGGATATTATCTTTGAAATCGTTCGCTTTGTGGGATCATAAACTTCATCGAGTATCCAAGAGGCTTCCAATTTGTTCAAGTCAACGCTGGGGTTCATGTGAATACTGATAATTAAGTGCGGTTCGCATGTTTCATTTGCGCTGTCTTTGGGGCACTTGATCAGAATTGCGTGTATGCCATCAGATATATTTGATTCGATGTTAGTTTTTGCCAATGTAATCAAATTACTTTTAAGAATTATAAAAATTATTACAAAAAATATTGAATTTTTCATTTTTATTGCATCTTTGTACTTATTAACTATTCAATTTATTTTTAAAATTATTTCAAAGGCTTACTTGGTTTCAAATCAAACAGAGATGTTTGTTTTTTGCAGGGTAATATAATTTTAGTCAGAAGTTTGACAAGCATTGAATAATATATTAATATATAATAATAATAATATATATAATATATATTCTTGATCAGCATTGTCTATCTATCCGTATCTACTCAAATTAGTCTCTCAGTTTTGAAGCTATCTGAATGTATCTTTGAAATACATACATATATACTAGTTAGAGTACCAACTAGTATATATGTATGTTCGTTTGAACGGGGCGGATCGAACGACTATATCATATAGCTGCCAAAACAATAATCGTTAAATGTATGTGATTCTCTGCAGATCGCTCTTTCTCTCTAGCTCTCTCGGTGTATCTGTACAGATGCCTTTCCCTCTGCCAGTCCCTTACTCTCTCGGGTGCTCACTTTCATTTTCTCTGTTCTCATCTTTACTCAGAGAGTATAAATACAGGCGCTGGCTGAGCGCCGGCTTCAGTCTGTCCGTGGCCACCCCCGCGTTAACATCTAAAGTGATAGTGGTAGTGATAGTGATTGCCCTACGACCAGAAGAACAACACTGGACGAATGGAATACATCTGGATGACCAGGAAAAAGCTCACTTCGATAATACCAAGAATATAACTCTGGACTGGAAGGAATTAAGCAATGACAATGAGGATAAGTACTGGGGTAAGTCTTGACCATGACAATTAAATTATTTATGTTAATGCGATACGAGGGATCAGGCCTATGCATTTATTCCCTTATTGCCATGTACCCTTTTACTTAACTCACTCAAAGTGAGCTTAATAATAAATTATTCTCGAATATTAATTTTTTACACTTTCAAAACTAACACCGACTTTTGGCCCAAAATTTTGCTATATTATTATAGTGAATGAGTCGTTTCCGACCCTATAAATCATATATATTCTTGATCAGCATAAACAACCTAATCGACCCTCAAAAATTAAATTTTTTCATCGTTCTCGGTTTCTCAAAGTTAGTTTCATTTATTGTTTAAAATCGATTTATTCACTTTCATCTATATTTGGTAAACAGTTTCAAGGCTCGGGGTTCAAACATAAACCAACAGTTTATTAACAGTATATTTATGAAAAATATACATTTCACAATTTTTAAATAAAAACAATACTATGGTAAGTCCCTAAGGCTACTATATTTTTAGCTGATGATTCAGATCATAGACAAGGTAAGTAGTAGGTACTCTAGTCTCGAGGGCGACAGACACGTTTAAAGCACATTGCAGGTTTTCTGTACATTGATCATAGATCCCGATGGACACTTAAACACTTCAGTTGCACTCCCGCCTTGGGCGACGAGCCAACCCAATCTGAAATAGGTTCAATTATTAAATAAAATGCTAATTAAATGTATCAAAAGCTTACATATTATCAAACTCGGGAGCATTGGTATCAATGCCCAGGTAATTCGATTCGGCACACAGCTCCTGAGCCGAGACTAAAAAGAAGATTTGAGTCGGCGTTAGATTGAGGCCAGGTAGTCTTGCCATTCCCTTGATGGGTCCGGTTAGGGAGAGCATTGAGTGGTATGATATCTGCATTCCTCCCGAGTGTATCAGTATATCCATGCGGCTATAGTTCGAGAATATATTCACAGAATGGGGAACACAGCGCATTGCCTTCTCGTCAAACGATTTGGTAATCGAACGCAAAATCTCCTTTGCAATGGATACCCCAACAGAGGCATAATGTAAATATGGAGGTAACACAGCATTGAAATACGGTATGAGGATGACAGATAGTGGGACAACTGCAAATGATGACAAAAGAGTTATAAAGTTTAAATGTAATTTATATGAGTATATACAGACCGATAGAATGGCTAAGAGTATCGTAAAATATGGTCGACACGATGGGGTAGGCCCAGCTGTAAAAACATAGAATTTAAACGGAAGGAACTATGAGTTAGAGTTAAGATCATACGCATCATGAGAACCTCCTCCATGCAGGTTAATATCCGTTGGCAACAGCTTGTTCTTCTTGTATATCTCCAGGATGTTTTGAAACCAGCACTCGGCGGTTATATCCAAAGTTTGAAGGGTTCTCAATAAGTCTGTGGTATTTGAGAAACCATCCCATGTCTGCGACTGGATTTTTAAAGCCGATAGTTTCACCAAGGCAGCTCCCTTCAAGGAGGGTGCTCGCTTTAGGTGTGCTTTCAACGATTTAAATATGATCTCCGCCTGTAATAGGTTTTCAATAATTTAATGCCGCACTCTTTCAAGTGTTTGCTGTAAAGTATACCCTCTTCGTTATATCCTTCAAGTCATCAGATGAGTGCTGAGCAATATACAAGGCCGATGACAGTTCGGGCAAGGCCCACATCGTAGATCGCGTGCAAACCTCGGGGCTGGGGTAATCTCTGGGCAATATTTCTAGAGCGCTCAGCAATAGCAACGAGTTATGTGCCACTCGGGTTGGATACTTGGTAAGAAAATATTCTAAGGCCTTCAGATAATCACTATTTCTGACAACGATGGGTCCACTCCAATTCGATGGTATCAACAGGGTCCAATTTAGCTGGAAATAACAAAGTAAAGCATGTTTAAAAAGAACTCTATAAGTATATATTCAATTTTGTATGCTCACAACTGGGTACAAGTCTTGTAGGCTGGATACATTATATAAAACAGTGCTGTCCCAGAAGCCTCGGCGTGAGTGCTCCACTTGGAGCTGATAAATATATCTCTTATTAGGTAAATAAATTAATATATTAAACTATTTTTAACTAACCTTGTTTAGGTCCTTAATAAATTCAAAAATGGTGTCCTTCTCGGACACTCGTTGAGCATATGACACAAAATGTGGTAGAAAATTGTCGATTAAATCGGCCAATAGTTTCGGTAGCCCTTGTCGAATACGACTTGGTGGTGCTTTTGGGCTCATCCAACGTATTTTGCGCTACGGGTATATTTTATATTCATTAAATATTAAATGCTATAAATATTTCAGCATTTATGTACCTCGAGTATAGTTGACGATGTACTGGGTCCACTAATTATAAGTAGAATGTGCGGTCTCCTTCCATAGCTTAGATCGTAATATAAGTCCACCAAGGGACTTGGACCGAGATCATAAATTTTAGCTATCAAAGGAGCTATGCTGGAGGGTCCCACTGAGCCAACAGGTATATATCCGCCCAAAGTATCGAATATGTGGTGCATAATAGTAGAGTTAGTTGTCTGCTGCAGGCAGCTTTCGAACAAATTGTGCAATATATTAAAACTGCCGTTCATTATTTTGTTTTGAAAAAGATCTGAAAATAAGGATATTGAAAGATCTTCTTAAGATGAGGAAAAACTTATGAGTCTTACACAGCATTTGTGAGTCGACACTTTTCTGCGAGTTTCCCATTTCGATGAGGTTCGTTATGTTTTTATTTCGGGTATTGCGCCAACAGCTAAACTTCTTGAACTCGGTGCACGGATCCTTGTTCCAATTGAGTCTGGCCTGGATGCTGGAGGCCACTGCTTCGCAAATGGGATCCGTGCATTCGGGCGGTGCTGAGACGGCGGGAGAGCACCGATCCCCCTCCATATAGCAATCTCGGGGCAGGGGAGACGGTGCAGTGCTTATCAAAAATAATATAGGTGATGCTACCAGCAATGTGGTCACCAGTAAGGTGGCCGATGTGATGGCCATTTTGTGCACCGCCGCAGAGGTACGCAGCCATATACATGGGGCGCAGCATATCCATCCTATAATACTATTCTGTAATTTAAATAAATTAAAATTTGTTTAGATTTTCATCTCTATATCCAAGATATTTAAGCCATACAGGAAGTGTGAGTAATTAATCTTAATGAGGTTCGATTAACACACATAATTTGTTGTTGTAATCTCGAGAAGGCAATAAAAACTATAAAGTAATGTATACAATGACTAGTTTAGACTTGAACTACAAAATAGTCAAAAAGTACATCCCTTATTTTAGTGAACAACTGCTTCACTTTATGGAAAGGTCAAAGTTTAATCAAAATATATATTCCATTCTCTTTACCTTATTATATCGCGTATTGAAATTTTCAATGTTCGAACTGTCAATCATTTCAATCTCATCGGATTTGCCCATTTGCTTGGACCCCACGGGCGTCTTAAAGGACAATTGCTTCTGGAGCAGGGACGCACTGCTTCCGCCGGATGGATTCGCCGTCGTAATAAGATTTCGGCCATGACCGTTGTTACCCAAGCCGGCAACGCCGTTCTTTCGGAATACATTACGTGCACTGGAATCAGCTGTCATTGTTTGGATTTGTTTCTGAAAATGGAATTTTCTCCTCGGGCTGCCTTCATATGAAAATCTCTTCAAACAGCTAGTATCTGTATCTGAGCAGCGTTAGTGGGGGGCTTCCTAATAGGTGTTGTTGCTACAAGAAAGCATACATATGTATATCGAAAATATATATTTTATTTATTTAGTGGAGAATTAATCAATATCATTTGTTTGCTTACCGCACATTTGTCTCCAGAGATCCTACAAGCAGCCCCGTTCCTTTTTGTTCCGTTCGTCCCTTAATTCGAATTGACAGATTTATGTGCGGGTCAACAGGAAATTGTTTATTTTTTATTTTAGTAATTACTTTTTTCTATTATTTGTGCTATTGTATTTTGTCTAAGCAGAAGTGAGTTTTTCTGCCAAAAATGGAAATGATGACCACTGGCAACACCACTCGCAATAATTCTCTTGAAAGCTTCAGTCAGAAAGCTGTTCCTGTAAGAGCTTTTCCCATACCCATTTAGCCATATGTATTACACGTTGGCCATATATAAATATTTTGGCCTACAGTACACCCAGGAGGGGCGGGGAGAGGAGGTTCTTCCAGTTCTTTGAGCTCTTTACGGTATATTTTGGTGAGGCTTTCAACGGCTTTTGGCCAAGTAGAAAAGGAAAACTTACACATTGTCAAGGACCAATTCCACATGTCACCATACAAATAACTAATCAAATTCTTTGAGTTTTAATAAAGAACTATTAAAATAGGATTTTCTCTTAAACAAGTCAAGTTTGAACTTTTTTAAAAGCAAGCATCAACAGCATTTCAACAAACTGAAGTTTCAAAATCTCATAACTAAGCCAAAAATGTCTTAAATTTGAATTCGGAAAGCATTTATATGTTAAATTTTATTAGGTTCATAAATCTGCATAGTCAATTTAAAATTTTAAAAATATTTCCCAATTTTTATAAATTGTAACGATCTAACCCCTTACAAAATTTTGAAAAAAAAAAAATTGTTTTCTGCCGGAGATGGCTAGATCCACTCGGCTGTTGATGCTGATAAAAATATATATGATTTATAGGGTCGGAAATGGTTCCTTCACGGAATTACAAGCTTCTGACTGAAATTATGATACCCTGCAAGGCTGCAAAATATAGGATTCACCTTTGAAAGACCTACAAAAAAACCTCCCAAAAAAATATTTAAAACACTTTAAGCTGGTGTTGTTAATTTGTGCAGTTCTCGTTTATTTTCGAAGTTTCGGTTTCATATATCTTTGGCGTAGAAAGTATTATATTTGTTAAAGCTATGAGTTGTGTTGCAGGCAGAAAAAGTTGACTTTTCTTTTTAATATAAAAGCTATTTCCGTTTAATTTTTATAAAGCAGTTCAAAAACTACATTTTTGTAATCGTTGTTTCCTATAACAGTTTTGTATTTTGTGATTACTCCTCTGCCTTAATGCGAAAATTTGAATACAAAAATAATTTGACTTACTACCAAGTATGACTGGACACTGGACACAAGCTTCGAAGAATTAGCTAAACAGATTTTTGAGCCTCGCTTTTTGTGCTCTAGGTTCTCTTATAGGAATATCTTATCCTTTTCGCAGTTCCTGAAGTATCCATCGTACTTGCTCAGCTCCCTGGCCGTGCCCGAGGTGGTCACCATGGCGGGGAGAGCTCTTAAAAACCCATGCAGGCCGGACGGAATCGGGGGCGTTGGTGGCACTGACAGTCCACATCGATTGTACAGGAAGGGCATGATTCCGGTTACATTGGTGTGAAGAGTCAGCACTGCCTCCAAGTCCGACTCTTGTGCGTGCATCAGGAACTGATTATAGGCACTGGATGGAATCATCCCGAAGTGATCGAACGAATCCACATACGCCTCGGTGTCCCGCTTGTAGTTTTCCAGAAAGTCGCCCAAAAGCTTGGCTACCATAGCCGATCGTGCCTTGCTGGCCACCTTGAGGCTCTGCATATTCCGGAATACAACTGGCGGCTTCACGGCTCCTCCGAATTTGTTCAAAAACTTTAGGATAATTTTCTCGTGATTATCTTTAGGATCTTCGGTCAGGCGGCGTAGCACCGACTCCAGATACAAGCTGAAAGTCTGCCGCGCCTGGAACTGCGTCAGTTCGGATCCACTGGAAATCTTCTTTAGCATCACCTTTCGCAACCTCCGCCCCTCCTCCTCGCACTTGGCCACCGTCGCCTTCTTGACGAAGGGAATCTCTGAATCAGTCTCCAGGGCCCTCTCGTACTGGCCAATGCGGTTCTCCTCCGAGTTATCGTCTCTGCTATGCCGGCCTGCATCCTGGCAGTATAGATTTAGATGCAGCATTTGGTTGTAGTTGTGTTGCAAGACCGGCGTTTGGAATGTCTGACTTTGCACCGTCGGCGTGGATATAGGAATGCCAGAGCTGGAGTCTAGGAAGTTACCATAACGTTGCATGGAGTCGTCAGTGGGGAAAATGCGTACGAATCCGCCGCGGCGGGAATACTGTTGGCGTGTATGGCGTAAAATGCGCTGCTCTTCGCCTGTAAGTTGAGACTGAACATTGGCAGCGGCTGCTGCTCCTCCCTTCTTCTTCGATTTCTTCGACTTCTGCGCGAGAGCGACTCCGGGATAATTGGTGGGCTGCCTTTGGCAGCTGGAACTGCGCTGGAATCGGGACCATTTTTGGTCGTAGTGAGATCTCATTTCTGGACTATAGGCTGGAATGCCCACGCATGTGAGGAGATCGGCCATAAGGCATGACTTTACCTTCGTGTCCAACGGACTATCCACGCCCATTGATGGTGAAAGATTGATTTCCAGAAGCCAAGGCTTCAGGGAGTTGTCTATTAATATATCAAAGCCGTACAGCTCGAAGCAGTTGTTGCCGTTGGGCACGAACATCCGGCAGGCGGAAATTACGGATTGGGCGCAAGCCAGCACGGCTTTAATAATCAAATCCTCTATATTCAGCATCAATTGACGCGTATCACAACTCTGGAGTTTCAGGTGCCTCAAAAGGGCCGACAGCGTCCACTTGTGACCCACATCCTCATCCTGGGCATCAGAGCTCCTTATATAATCCGAATGGTACTTGTTGATGCTATAGTTGCAGAGATGCATGCATGGATTCCACAGGTTATCAGCATGCCGGTCATATTTGACTGTGGCCAGCCTGACGATACCCTCCTCGTAAAGGTAAATAATTAGGGGATCAAAAGAGGTCACTAGCACGTAAACGCGTAAATCACACTTGTGGCCGTCGATGCACAACGGGTCCACAATATACTTGGAGACTAGCACCTGTTCGTCTTGCGGAATTTGGTCGGGCTGCAAGGAATGAATACGTTAATATTATATACATCAAGAAATTAAGAAATCTAGTAACCACAATTACCGTATTAACTATAAATATACCCCTTCCTCTGCTGGATGCTGCTGGCTTTACTATCCACGGTCCGCGATGCTTGTTGTGGGCCACACACAGGTCCCGGGACTCTATGGGAAGGACAAAGGACTGAGGCACAATATCAAAGTGTTTCATCCCACGGAGATGTTGCATCCGCTCAATGTTCTTGTAGAGCCTGTCCTTCCGCGTTAGCTCGTAGGATCTGCAAATATTTGGAAGCACATTAGTATATAGTTAAGAGTAAGAGGTATTTACGGGTATTTACCTGGGGAAATGATTAACCCTCTGATACGGCGCCAGGTTTCTCACAATATCCAATTTCATGTGGACACCAGTCCATAGAAGATTAAAATTATTTTCGCCTTGCGATTCGGTAAGGCCATGTACATTGAACAGCTTTCTCAGCAACTTGGTTTCCGTTTGATGGAATTTGTACGTAATATTAAGCTTAAAGGCCGGCATATTAATGCCACATTCAACCTCATCCTCGCTGGTCGCCTCCGGATCTTCCTCGCTTGCTTCAGCCGTATTCGCATTGGATTGGGTAGGTCCGAGGGAATCGTATCCACTCTCCTTAGACATTTCATCTTCAGCTAAATTTATATTAATGGAATTCTGGCTAGTCTTAAGTACACGCGATTTATTTTCAATACTGCGCGAAGGCTCGGGTTCACCTTCGCTGGAAATGGACGTATCACTCGAGGAATATCGGTTAAGCATCTTCTTAAAGGGGCTACAAAACTTTAATTTATCCGAGTTATCACAATTTTGTGCTTTTTTAATAAATAAAGATTTTTCTGCGTGGAGCCGCCGCTTAGAGCTTCGCTGCTACCGGCTGAAGCAGACGTTTCAGCTCTTTGGCATACAACGTCATCCTCTCTGTCTTTGGACTCGAGCAGCGCCTGAGCGGAGGACTTCTCGGATAGGGTCTTGCGGGTCTTCGGATTGAGTATGTTCGTTCTAAAAACCAGAACTGCTTCGCGGGAGCCCAGCTTTCCACTAGTAATCCAATCATCTTGCTTTAGATAATCTAAATTGGCTCTATAACACCATATACACCGAAACAAATGAAGTATTATTGTCGAATCCAATAGCAAGTTAAGACATGAGAAACATTTATTTTGTGCCACAAGTAAAACATTAAATAAAACTTTTTATTTATTTAGATATTATTATTATGCATTAAACGCTTGAAGGTACAGAATAGGTGTTTCGGTTAAAAAATACTCAACTTACGAAGAACTTGTGAGTGGTTCACACAAGGAAGAAGGCATAACGACTTCTGAAATTGTGAAATAAATATTGTAAATATAAATAAATATTGGTAGATCAGGCTTTATTTTCTAAATATAATACGGTTAGTGCACATTAATCAGTGGTGTAGGCGTACGGTTTTCTAAGGGGAGGAATGAATTTAAAGTAATGGTGCTCAGTAATAAATTCAACATTTCATAACTGCATTTGAGCTGTGCCGAAGGTCCTTAAGAACACTCCCACTATATGAGTAGATCCCAGGCAGAAAAATACGGAAGTTACACGAAAATGCATTACATATTTTTTGGAACCACGCCAATATCCCTGATGCATTGGAATTAAGAATTAGAATTAAATGGAAAGTGCTATAAATATGGTGTCCTTGTGAGAAATGTTTGAAGAGGTCACTACATCGATCCATCTTTCCTTCACCAACTATAATTATGTAAACAAAGATTTAATTAAGTTCGAATTTATGATAAGGTGTACTTGGTAAAATCTGCACCTTATCAACATTTGAATCCACCAAGAAATTTAATTCATTTAGGGTCGGTTTTCACACTCACTGTTAAAGACCCTGATAGCAAACTGACAGGAAAAGATAAATACCGGATTTGTAATTTATCCAAACGCTTCAGTTGCCATTTAATCGAGCCGTAAAAGATTTTACTCTATAAGAAACTGCATTTTTGTGCTCAAAAATTTAACAGTGAGGGTAGAAACCGTCGTCGTTTATCAGTTTATTAAGGATCTGGACGCGAATGAATAACTTAAAAAAAGAAATACATTCGATTTGATTCGTACCTTTTTCTACAACATAATACACCTCATCTCTGGAGGTTCCGCTGGGTTTGAAGTAAGATGCAAGAAGATTTATCTATAATAAATACAATATTTAGGAGCGAAATAAGTTGGGTTTTTATTCTTAGCGCTCGTAGCAACTAAGACATCTATGAACTAATTGGCGACGAGTGGGGGAGATCTGAGTACCTTAGAGCATCCCCAAAAATGTTGGTTTTTTTCATCGGTATTCTGTGAAGACGTTTATTGAATCCATAATATCCTTTATAGTACAATTGAATGGTTTACAATTCATTCCAACCATTGGAGTTTTAGATAATAGCTGCAGTTCAGGTTTCGGCTCCATCTTTAAAGCATCGAAATTGTGTGTTACAATCCTCCTTTAAATTGATGTATTATCCATGTGCTATTTTGCTTCAGTTCAGACTTAAAAACTATAGAGCCTTTTTCCGCCAGCACATACATACATATTTTACCAGCCTCATTTTTTGTAGATTCTACTAGCAAAAGTAGAATTTAATCTTTGTTTTAAAAAATGATTAAGGTTGTATGTTGTGCCACTGGAATAAGAACTTCTTTTTAAAAATACATTTGAACTTAAATTAAGCTTTACGTTTACTTTCTATGATTTATAATTAAAAAGGAAGCTTGTTTTAGCAGGGGAAATTAAAGCAAGGTAATTTTATTTTTGCCTCTGAAGCAATTGATTATAGACTTTCTATTTTAAAAATAAAGAAGTGTTACTTGGACAATCGCACATAACTACTACTTTAAAAACGCCTGTAGATTTGGTAAAAACTAATTAATTATTATATCTATCAGCTTCCATAGTATCAATTTGTTTAAGTATGTCTAATTTCGTTGTTTTCGAGACAATAAGAAAACAATTCCTTACACTGAAAAAATTATAAAACACATTTTATATTACAAAACAAAAAAAATAATAGAATATTGTAAAATAAGGAATATATGAATATTATGATCTATGATGTGGGCATGTATGTCTTGTATGTTTCAAATTATGAATTTTATTTACATTACATTGTTAAAATGTTGTACAAATTTTCAATGTATGTAGATTATTTTTAAATGGCGGGATACATCATTATAAAATAATAAGGGTAGGTGTTAATTCATAATTGATATTTAAGCTAACATTATCATTATCATTTAGAAATTCCTGCGGCTTGTGTTGTTGTTGTTGTATGTTGGATTCAAATTAGTATTGAAGTTGAAAAGCGACGAAGTGGTAAAATCATGACGCAGAACGCTGCTGGTAGGATTCATTGTCGATGTTCCAGTGCCAAAAAGACCGCTTTGATACGATGATGATGATGACGATAATACGCCGGATCCAAACGGTCCACGATCAGCCGAAAAAGCGCTTGTGGTGTTAGCTATGCTGTTAGTGTTTTGGTTGTTAAAGCGAGCCACATTTGAAGAATAGTTCTGACCAGTATACATACTGGTCGCATTGCTCGCAGTGTTTGCGTCATTTAAATTTCTATCTGAGTGTTGTGCAAACAAGCTATCATTGTTGATTGGGTTGGAAATGGTGGAACGTTCTGGGGCCACAGAAATTCCCGAGAAATTGCTGGTATAATTTCCCGAATCTCTGGGGAGATGATTACCCGAGTTGCTAGAGAGATGATTTCCAAAGTTGCTTGATTGGTGATTTCCCGAGGTGCTGGGTAAACGATTTCCCGAATCGCTGGGAAGACAATTTCCCGAGTTGCTGGGAAGGTGGTTTTCTGAGTTGCTTGGCTTCTGATTTCCAAAATTGTTAGGGGTATCAACCACATCGTGACGTTTCTTTTGCTCAATCATTGTATAAACTTGAAGAATTTTTTGTAATTCTTCGCGATTAATGGATGTTTTGCCCTGGGATACTAATGACGATGCCAACTTTGCTGCTAATTCAGTTTTATCCAACGGCTTTTCGACGTTTTGCTGAATTCGGTTTGTAATTGGCGGTATTTGCTTTTCAATAATAGGCAGTACGGAGGTATCTTTGGGTTTGTTATATTTATGGGCCACTTCAAGCAAAAGTTCCGTATCACTAATAGCTTTCTTTAAAGCTCGCTCCTTGGCAGGATCATAGATCTGCGAAATCAAAAGACCAGTAAATTTTTCTTTAGCCGTCTCCAAGATGGCACAATTCTCGGTTGTCAGTGTCAGGCTTTGTATTTGCTCTGGATAAAGTTTTTGGATCTGCAAGGCTTTGGCCAGCATTTCGGTAACAAAAGGCCCCAAACTGCCAAGGTAATCCTCAAGGGCAGTTAAAAGACGCAGAACATGGATAACATTCGGAGGAGCCACCGGCTCCTCATCGACTGACATTTTCTGGACGTCTTTATTAGCTACTGGATTGTTGTTGTTAGTTACAGGGGCAGCAGCTGGCTCGGAAACATTGACATGATACTTCTTATTAGGCAATTCATGATTAGTCATTGGCAGGCACAACCGTTCGCGGCATTTTATTTTGATGTTCTCAATTTCCTGGTCATAGAGTTCTTCAAGGCGATTGTTAAAGAAATAAATCCATTCGTTTTGAAAGTTGTACGAACGGTGATTGATTCCGGCGAGTATAAGCTCGTCCTTGCGACGTTTCCAAAACATTTGCCACTCGGTCTGATAATTTGGATGCTGCTCCGGGTCAGCCTTGTATGTCACGAACGAGGTGTTCAGCTCACGAACCTTCATGTCGACCATGTGACGGTAGGCCTGCCATATGTCCCCATCTCGTAGTGGAGAAACCGAGTAACGGTCGAGATTCCATAGCGTATTTTTCATGGGATTCGTTGCCACTCTCTTGCCACTCCTTTGATTCGGTGATTTGGACCGGGAGCGCTTCGAGCCCCGGGACTTTTGATTATCGCCCGAGGATTGTCGAGTGTCTCGAAGGAAGTTCGCGACCATTCGCTTGTGCGTTTCATCATCTACGGTCCTCGATGAAGCACTGCTCGGTACATTCATGTTCTGGTATCCCACAGCATAATTCGGGGCTTGAGGCTGAGACTCGAACGTTGGACACATGTAGGGATTTGGGTTCTCCATGTTCATAACACCCTGTGTGCTGATTCGAGCGTTCATTATTAACTCGTCCACTTCTTGCACGTCCACGACATGCGTAAACGAAGGACCCACCTTTTCCGAAGCATGCCATCGATTGAAGGCCTTGGAGATCAGAGACTGACGATCTTTGGCAAAGAAGTGTTCATAGCACTGGAGGGGTGTCTTTCGGCCATGATGCGTCTCAATAGCCAGAGCAAGCTTGTCTAAAATGGGCATCATTATCTTGCAGACATCGCTTTCAGGCACATTGGACACATACTGCCGATACTGACGCATGGCAGTGGGATAATGCTTGTCGAAGTACTTCAGACGGTGGTTGTAGCCCAGCAAATGATTGTGCATCGATTGCTCGGTGACGGTAATCTCGCACAAACAACATAGATAGCGGATATTCAAGTCATTCAGACTCCTCACTATTTTCAAAACATACTCAACTCCAACAAGTTTCATAATTTCGTCTTGATGAGAATTGGAATCAAATGTAATGCTACCTGGTTTATTCGTTGTACCAGCATAGGACGGGGCTGATCGAGGAACAGATGGGCCGCCATAGGGCGAAGGCGTTATTACCTTTTCGGTGGGAACGGGGCGTGCAGAACCCACCGCATTCTTGTTCGGCAATTTCTGAACAGGTACAGGATATCTGCTTCCTGCCTGATTTGGAGGGTTAGGCTTCTGTTTGGGACCTGCCTGGTTAGCCATAGGATGCTTTTGACTACCTTGATTGGACATATTTTTTTTGGAAGCTGTTTGATTGGGCGTAGCTTGCTTTGCAGCTGCTTGATTGGGTGCAGCTTGCTTTGTAGCTGCTTGATTCGAAGCAGCTTGCTTCGGAGCTGTTTGAGTTGGACCAACTTGATTGGGTTTATGGTTCTTGGGACCGGCCAAGTTCTTGTTACCCTCTTCCGGCTGATCCTCATCTATAATGATGACATCGTTGTTGCTGGCATTATTTGATACGGGGCCACCGATTAGATTTGCCAGTGGAACACAGGATATTTTAGTGGCGAGTGGATTTTTCACTATGTTTGGTAAATTCTTTGAATTGGATTGTTGCCCTCCAGTTTCGCCTTGTTGTGCTCGTTGTTGACCCTGTGGGGGCTTAGTCTGATCTTGTGCGGTTTTTTGTGGGGCTTGTGCTTTCTGCTGAGGCTGTGCTCTCTGTGGCTGGGACTGTGCTTTCTGCTGTGGATTTGGTTTCCCTGCTTGGGACTGAGGTTTCACTTGAGGTTGTGCTTTTTGCCCTGGATTACTCGAACCTCCCGTGTTCTTATTAGTGTTGGGTCCCTTTTTCATGCCCGGACTCTGAAGAGTCTTGTTTGCTTGGTTATTACCACCACCACCACTAGCATTTGGGGTAGCTTCCTTTTGAGCTGAATTTCCAGCTGCTGGCTTGACCGCGTTGTTAACATTTTTGTTTAATGGCTTATTAATGTTGGAAGGATTCGGATTCTTCGAAACGGAGGGAGAGTTGATTCTGTTGTTGTTACCGGCAGCTTGCTTCGGGACACCGGGTGACTTAATTCTTATTTGCAATTGTGGAATACTGATCATTTGTGTGTTGTGTTTTTTACCACTCAGGTGGCTGAACAGGTTTTTTTCCCCCCATTGTACGACACTGCAGAAGTTGCATTGGTACTTCCTGCCTTCATCTTGTTGAAACACCATGGTTTCCCATTTTTGCGACGGACTGTTGCGAAACTCAAATCTGAGCACCTCGTTCAATGATACTGTTGTCAACAACTCAAGAAATTTCGTCCCATCTATGGGTCTATTGGGCGCAACGTTTTTGGTATCCATCTTGTGTGCTCGTGATACCTATAAACATTAATCGCTGTTCATGTGGCTCGCAGTAAACTAACACTTTTGGTTTCGATTTTGGTTATTCGTATCGACAGATACTAATGTGAGTTTTGATTTCAGATATTGAGTGGCTATAAAATTGAAGGAAAAAAAGCTTTTATATAAAATGTATACAAGTAATAGCCAAAATTACTCTAAGAACTATGTTTCGTTTTGTTTTCTAGGGATCTAAAACATTAATATATATAGTATATATTTCTTAAGCTAACAGGAAACAAGAAATCAGGTGTCGAAAATGGAAGATGCAGGATATGGGCATTGCCAAAGATCACTGGAAAATTGTGAGCATTTTAAGCCCCCGAAAACTTGTGGCAGACACATAATATTTTCATTATATGTCGACGAGCAATTCTAGTTGGAATTTTTGTACATTACATGCACTAGTCCCATTGTATTCGTTTGAATACAACAATGACAGTATAGTAGTAAGGGTATCAAAAGCAATTGGATAATAGAAGCATTAGATCGGTTTTTCGAGAAGCGTGAAGCGGGAGGTAGCGGAAGCTTATTTGCCGTATATTTAGAACATTACACGGGAATCATAAAAAAAAGTAGTACTCGCTCGTTAGGAGGAATATACATTTATGTGAGAATGTGAGCATAAGCAGTATTTTGATCTGGGCATATTTTATGTATTTAATCTCGGGATCTTATAGAGAGATACGAGATGTGGTATGTAGATCCATGTTATTCTCCCATCTCTTTTAGTGTTTCCTAAAAAATAAGAGACAAATAAGACAATACACCAACGTCTTGTGAATCATGACCTAAAATTTAGGTTTGTCACTAAATTATTCATAATATTCCAATTCTTTCCTGTTAGTTCACAAAAAGCACTTACAATAAATACAGCTTACATTGTTCAAAGTTAAAATTGATTAAGATAAATAAAGATTACGTCTTTAAACTATATTTCTGTTCAAAGAGCAGGCTAAATTAAAGCCTACCTGATCAGAAAATCTTCCTATTTAAGATGTTTACTTTTAAAACCATACGGTATTCACATTTTCAACATTTAAAAAAGATTATAAGATTTATTTTTATTTAAAGAATTTTATATCGATCGGACGGCAGTACATTAATTGTTACAAAGCTCAGCACTTACAATAAATCTTACTAAAACATAAGTAAAAATATAAATATAAAAACACAGCATAAAAATAGTAAAACTACTATACAAAAAATTAATTGTTAGTGCAAAAAATAGTGCACTGGTATAACTGTAATCATTCAAGTTAAGAAATACTGGAATATTTCTCTTCCCGAAGCAATTGAGTATGTCAAATGTTTAAAGATATATCTCTCGTAATTTATGCAAAAGCATGTTATTATTTAAAGGCGATTTACGCACAAATGCCCTTAATTTAAAGCAGGATTTGGGAAGAAAACCGTAAAAGTGCTAGCCAAAGCAACATGTCTAAGGTCAAGTCGTTCGGCCTTTACTTTATTATTAGTAAAATCACATATTTACTTAATGTGGAATTAATATTTTTAAAGCGACAGACCTTAACTTGGCCGTACATTAAGAATGCTACAGAATTTTATGTCTTTACTTTTTAAAGATATGCAAGCATTCCAGAGAGGCCCCGTTTCATTTGGGGGTTTAATTCATGTTAAAAAACGTTTTAAATTCGTTTTCAAAACCCTCTTGCCAAACACTAAGATTACAAAATAAAATCTTTATTCGTTTGGAGTTGAATTTTGATTTACCAACGTTCACAAAAGTATTTGAAATATAATTGAAATTGCAATGTCACTAAAAACCAAACTGTCTTCACTGCGACATTGCTTTTGCAATAATTTCACCTGACCCTGCTTTTTTTTTAGAATATATCTTCTTTTTTCCCACTCCTTGTACAGCTTGGAAGCCTCGTCTTTATGTGCATTATAATCGACTTTCCAATTTTAGATATCTATGCTTTTTTTCGTTAAGGATATACCATATATGGTTGAGGGCGTAAAAGTAGCAGTTAAGCCTGCATTACTTTCTGTGAAGGGGTGGCTGACAACAACCCCCAAACTAGGATAATGAAAAGCTAACATATGCAGGTAAAAGTAAAACGAGGCCTATTGCCGATATGACCTTATTATAATGGAAAAACAGTCGATTTGTATGCGACAAAAATCCGAAAAAGGAGTGAAAACGACGTCATGAAATGACATCATGAATTTCGAAAGCGGCTTTTAAGGCCTTCTTTTTTTCTCTTCAAAATTCGTTGCCGGAAGTAGTATCTGCGATTTCAACCGTAGGGAACCGAGGTCCGTTTAACACCAGAGCAGAGCTCCCCGAGAAAAAAACAAAAAAACGTAAACCGAAAAACTGCATGTCGCCATCAGAGCGTGGTATTGATTTTTTTGTTTATGCATGTGTCCCCCGTTCAGTGTTCATGTGAGAGAACCACTCGCAGTCACACGAGCGAGCACGCACTTAAATTAGCCTTATGAATAGCTTACTCTATATTCGGAAGTAGTACTATCTTATTTTAGACTCACCGGCGAAACGCAAACGCGACGACCGCTTTACCAATTGCGGTTACTAGATGCTCGTGCTCGTGCACCCAATCCAATGGCCAGCCACTCCGGGATCCGCAGTGCCTCCTTCTCGTTGCCTCTCTAAACGCTGCCTCGCTGGTACTCTGCTAAGCGGCTCCGATTCCTATCACGCATATGCAAGGGCGCCAATTAGCGCCGGATTCGCTTACAAAATTACAAGAAGAATTTGCGCTAACTTGAATTTTTTACTTGCATTTAGGCCGAAGAGGACAGAGAATTTCGGTGGCAACGCATCAAAAAAACAAATGACAGATATATGTGTGTAATTATCGATAGATATACATGACAGGCATGTGTGTGAATATCGATATATCGGTACCGATATATGTTTTTTGAAATCTTCCATCTCTAGGTGAAAAAATCGCAATACCGAAATAATTACACTTCTAATATTTATACATGCATATTATAAAATTAATTTCTTAATTATCTGCTTATCAAGAACGTTGTCGCAAGCTTTGGCTTTGAATTTCGGTAGAACAGTCTCTATCAAAGTACTTTCATCGAATACTTTTATCAGAGTTCGCAACCTCATATCGTGTCCCAGAATTTGCAATTTTATTCGATTTCCAAGTGTCCAGCGATATGTAGTCATCGAATGCGCTATCGATTTTCTTTCTTTCGTTTCCGGCGAGGTGCGTAATTTGTTCTCCGCGTTTTTGCAAACTTGAACCGATTTTCGTTACGACCGATCCCAGCCGGCCATGTGCGATTAGAAACTCGCACTCCCACCGAGAAAATAATCATAAATCAGCTTACTTGTCACCCGCAGACCATTTACAATATGGATAATTCAGGCAATAACCGCTACGAGCTGTTGTTCATGGACGACGATGCCCCGCCACAGATTCCTGTCGCAGTGGTAGCCGCTGCGCCGGCCAAGAAGCCGGAGGCGTCGGTTCCCAAGGCGCCGAAGAGCAAGCAGGAGAAGGAAAACAAACCGGTGGGTGCTGCTGCGGCCAAGAAGGCTAATAACGCGGTTACTAAGAGTGCCGGCGGTACCAGTCCAGTAAAGGGAGGAAAGGCGGGTCCGCCTCCTCGTAACTCTAATGCTCCTGCCGGAAACGGCGAAAGGAGCTTCAACGCCAGAAACAACAACAACAACAATCAGCGAAGCTTCGGCGGCCACCGGGATGCCGGGGAGTTCGGCAACGAGCTGCCGCAGCGCCAGTTCAACAATCGTGATAACAGGGGACCACCACGCTTCCGCGCCGGCGAGAAATTCGGCAAGCGCGAGTTCGATCGCCAGTCTGGATCCGATAAAACCGGTAATTACACCCCACCCAAGATTCGCGGTATATGTACGAGACCCGAGACCCAGGGCTGTTTTTCTTTGTTCTCTCGTGTTTACATTGCTTGATTACTTACGTCAAATGGTATTTTAACATTAACATTAACCTGCAATGGCGGCTTGCCGCCAAATGTAGAAAAAATGGGAGCACGACGGACACTTGGTAACAAGATTACAAAGTGCTTGCCCACCGCGCTCGATTTACACGTGACTTTGTCAGTCTGTCATTCCAGAAGATTCGAAAATATGAATAGAAAACACGAAAAATCGCCATTTCTATAAATTAATTCTTAATCTTCTCATTCAGTTCAAGCAGTTTTTGTTTATGTTTAACCTGTTTATATAACATATTCGTTTAGTTTGAATAGTTTTCCTATGCAAATCTCAGAGAGAACCTGCAATGGCGGTATGCTGCAAATGAGAAGAGCGCAAAGCACTTGGCAACAAGATTACGATTCAGTTCTCCGTGCTCCACGTGATTCTTGGCTCTGAAATAGTTTAAATTAGAGAAGATTTGTTAGTAAAGTACATCAAAATTGTGTTACTGAATATTATAAATAGGCAATAAGACCAATCATGTATGTCCTAGCATGGTTTCTTAAGGTATATGCTTTATTTATAACCTTGTACACTTGTTTAAATACTTTGAAACTTATACTAACCACTTGACCCCTATACCGAGCAATCTACAATGTAAATCTACTGTAAATCCCTTACTAAAGCATCATTTACTTGCAAGATTTGCAAGTTTCTTGCGATAACACTATTAGCCATTTCGATTAAATTATTTTAAAAGTATTCGTTTCTATGAGAAAGTAAGACTTAAATCTTTATTAAATTGCTTTAATACATGGGTTTTATCACAAAGTACAGTCGGTAGCAAAAGCTTTTATTAAGCAAGGTCCATTAATAAAAGACTCTTCTTTTCCAGGCGTCAAGGCCATCGACAAGCGTGATGGCGGCGGTGCCCACAACTGGGGATCCCCGAAGCAGGACATTGAGGATCAGAAAACCGGGGAATCGACACCGCAGGCGGACAAAGAGGACTCGGCAAACGAACAGTCGGCTGATCCCGCTGCCGTTGTGGAGGAGGATGAGTCCAAGCAGATGACCCTTGACGAATGGAAAGCCCTGCGTGACCAGCGCGCCAAGCCCAACTACAACTTGCGCAAGGCTGGCGAGGGCGTTGAGAACCCGGAATGGAAAAAGATGGTCGTCTTGAGCAAGAAGAAGGAGAGCAACAGCGAGGATGAGTTGGAGTACGATCCGTCGCTGTATCCGCAGCGTGTGGGTCGCCTCCAGCGAATCGTCGACATCCAGTTTAACTTCAATGATGGACGCAAGGCCGGTGGCTTCCGCAAGGGACCCCGCCCGGGTGGTCCTCGCGAAGGTGGTTACCGCAACGAGGGACCTCGCGAAGGTGGTTACCGCAACGAGGGACCTCGCGAAGGTGGTTACCGCAACGAGGGACCTCGCGAAGGAGGTTATCGCAACGACGGACCACGTGAGGGAGGTTATCGTAACGAGGGACCCCGCGAAGGAGGTTATCGCAACGATGGTCCTCGGGGTAATGGACCGCGCTACAACTCGGGGGCCAGCAACGGCTATGACAGGCAGGACAACAACAACAGAGTCGGGGAGAAGCGCCGCTCGGGCCAGAAGCCCCTGAAGGTGGACGATGAAGCTCAGTTCCCCACTCTATGCTAGGAACGGCAACGGAGACGGAGAAGAGTAAGGTTTAACATTTTCACGTATTACATAATTAGTAAGCAGCTCCGGTTAACGAATAACCTTTAGATTTTCGGGCGTAATCTATGAAGCTTGACGACCGATGAACGAAATAAACAAAACAAACAAATCAGCAGCCACGCTTAATTCATATTCCTTAGTTTTAAACGTATCAACTTTTTGGATTATTTCACCCTCATTTATGCATTTAAAATAACTATTAAAAATAGTTGAAATGTTGAAAAATAAATTTTTACTTCACCTAAAAACCAAGTTACGACATTTGGTATTTATTTTAAATGTATATCTAAATCCCTTTCTCCATCCTTTAGTTTCTGGATGAATGCACCTAGTTCTTGGGCAGAATATGATTTCTTTCGCATCTTTTTTGGGACCGTCGGTGCCAGCGACGACGGTGGCTCCAGATTGGTCTGGAAATAGATTTAAATATTTATAGAATGCAAATAAGAGATGGAAGAGCATATATTTACAAAGTGTCTGTACTCCGGGGATATGGACTCAAGCTGTAGGATTCGGTCTTCCACTCTTTTGATTCGGCTAAAAATGCTTTCGTCGCTATGGCCGGCAGCTAGACCCATGTATAATTCAATTGTTTGTAAACGTGAATTATGCAGCGATTTTTTCATTTCAGTGGATGGGTCAGTTCCGAAGTCACGCGAGCCCATTAGTTTATTTAGCTCCAGCTCGTAGTTGGGCCGGAAAGCCATCTGCTGGGGTCCAGAGCGATTGTTGACGCGTCGAACTGAGGTAAATTGTTTGTACTATTAATAATGCTGATTATCTACAAAGTAGTTTACTAAATAACGCGTTTACCCACCTTTTAAATGACAATTTGACTTTTCCTGCTTTATTATAGAGCTCTGCGTTCGGGCACAGGAATCGCTCAGGTCTTTATCTTCTGCCTTGAAGTCAATTACGTTTTGTGAGTTGATTTCGGTCCGCTTGCTGTTGACAAAACACTCTACGCGCTTGGCTAACTCGGCATCATTAACTCTAATTTGCACCAGCTTTTGTGGAGCAACTTCGTCAGGTGACTCCTCGACCTTGCAGGGACAGGCCAAGTAGTTGAAATTACTTACTGATCTTTCTGCAATGTATGAGCATGCACAGAGGAAAAAGTAAAGAAATCATGGCTAGCTAATTATATTTAAAGGCAATGTGTGTGTGTGTAGGTACAAATTATAAAGGCATACATGTCATGGTGGCTAATTACTGGTTCTTACTGGGTCTGAATGACTCCTTGTTTTCCTTCCACTCGCTGTTGTGATCGCCATCGTATATCTCCTTCTTCCAGATGGGAACCCGGGTCTTTAGCTGATCGATGGCAAACGAGACGGACTCCAGGGCATCGGATCGGTGAGGTGAGGATGCGGCTATGACTACACTGGCCTCGCAGACTGGTACAGTTCCTAACCGATGATATATAACAATGTGCCTTAATTCTGGCCACTTGGAACGAAGGTCCGAGCAGATCTTGTTCATCTCCTTGAGGGCCATGTTATCGTAGGCCTCGTACGCCAAAGACACCACCTGAACATAGACGAAAAGAAATTATTTATCAACTACTTTGATTGACACCAAGCCGAGAGATAAGAAACCCACTTTTTTGCCCTGAAAGTTATCGCGCGTGGTGCCCACAAATACCGAAGAGGCTCCACAGCCCTCGTCAGCCAGCAATTGGTGGATGTGGGTGATGTCAATAGGGTCTTCAACCAGCTTTACGTGATCCATGGCGATATGTTTAACCTCCACTCAAAGGCGGGATGATGGCCAGCTCGTCTCCCTCTTTAAAGTTAATCTTATCGCTCAGGTTCTCTATGTACGTTTCGTTGTGGGCCAAAATCAAGTTGTCCCGGATGGAGGTCAGGTCAAATCTGGCCACTAGTTGCTCCAACAGCTCCGATGCGACGATCTGGGCGGGCACATCCACCTCCGAGCGAGGAGTTCGGGCTAGCTCGCGGGATTTGGCAAAAAACAGCACGTGGACATTGACAACAGGTCCATCAGTCGGCATAATCTTGTGAAATAGTTCCGTTTATAAAATCCACCTTTCGAGGAGTTTCGGTGATAACGAATAGATATGGCACCGCAAGTAAAACATATTGCGAGAGGAATGGCATCGTGCATTTTATCGATATATCGATGACAAAAAAACGTAACTACATATTCATTAATTCACCTGTTTTCTTAACTTTATTCTATTTAAGTTGTAATAATTAGTTAAAAGTATATCTTTTATATCTTAAAAATTAAATATCTTTTGTTCCAATCCAACCGTTTCTCCTTACTCAAGCATCGATAAGTTCCGGTCGACGTTCGCACATCTCTATTACAGCCGATATTCATTTGCTGGGCGAAGAATACAATTTGTTTTCATTCTTTTGTTTTCTAGTTAAATTTATTTGTTGTCTATCCTAGATAGCGAGTTTGTTAACACTTAATTAAAAAATATATTGTTAACTAAAGACTGTTACCGTCGTTGACCGTGTTGACATCGTCAACTAACGCTCTGGAGCCATGAAGACACGTTTCAATACCTTTGATATAATCTGCGGAGTGGCCGAATTGCAAAAGTTAGTGGTGAAATACGTTATCCATGGGATTCAGGGATTATTAAAGTACTTTCCTTATTCCAGGCTGGTCGGCTGGCGAGTGAATCAGATCTATGACGTGGATAACAAGACTTATCTGTTCCGGATGACAGGAACAGGAGCTGTGGAGAAGGTCACGCTGCTGATTGAGTCCGGCACCAGGTTTCATACCACCCGTTTCGAATGGCCCAAAAACATGGCCCCATCAGGGTTCAGCATGAAGCTGCGTAAGCATCTAAAGAACAAGCGTTTGGAGAAGATCCAGCAATTGGGCGGCGATCGTATTGTGGACTTCCAGTTCGGCACTGGCGATGCCGCTTATCATGTTATCCTAGAGCTGTACGATCGTGGTAACCTGATTCTGACCGATTATGAGCTGACTACGCTGTATATTCTGCGTCCACACACGGAGGGTGAGAATCTGCGCTTTGCCATGCGCGAAAAATATCCCGTGGAACGTGCCAAGCAGGCCACGGAGGAACTGCAGCCCGAAGCTGTGGCTGAACTGCTGGAAAATGCCAAGAACGGCGACTACTTGCGACAGGTCCTGATGCCCCATTTGGACTGTGGTCCAGCGGTAATAGAGCATGTATTGCTCTCTCATGGCCTGGACAACCGTGTGATCACCAAGGAAACCCCTTCTGAGACTCATGGAGAGGAGGAAAAGCCAGAAAAGGCCGGTAAAAAACAAAAGAAGGGACGAAATCAGCCTAAACTAGAGCAAAAACCATTTGATATGGTTAATGACCTACCCACTCTGCAGCAGGCAGTAAAGGTTGGTAAAAAATTGCCTTATTTTACCTTTATTTTTATCTTATCTCTCTTCATTTTTCCTCACTTCTAGAGCGTCCAAGACCTAATTGCTGAGGGAAACAGTGGCAAAACTAAAGGCTACATCATTCAAGTGAAAGAGGAAAAGCCAACAGAAACAGGCAATGTGGAATATTTCTTCCGAAACATCGAATTTCATCCGTACCTTTTTGCCCAGTTCAAAGAATTCGAAAATGCCCAGTTCGAGACTTTCATGGAAGCCGTCGATGAGTTTTACTCGACGCAGGAATCGCAGAAGATCGATATGAAAACCCTGCATCAGGAGCGTGAGGCTTTAAAGAAGCTATCCAATGTGAAGAACGATCACGCCAAGCGTCTAGAGGAGCTGACTAAAGTTCAGGATGTAGACAGAAAGAAGGCAGAGCTAATTACGTCCAATCAAAGCCTGGTGGACAATGCCATTCGAGCCGTTCAGTCGGCCATTGCCAGTCAATTGTCATGGCCGGATATTCACGAGCTGGTGAAGGAGGCCCAGGCCAATGGCGATGCCGTGGCCAGTTCCATTAAGCAGTTGAAGCTGGAGACGAATCACATATCACTTATGCTAAGCGATCCTTATGAAAACGAAGACGATACGGAGACACCGGACGTGACTGTTGTGGATGTCGATTTAGCTTTATCCGCTTGGGCCAATGCCCGTCGTTATTATGACATGAAGCGTTCGGCAGCTCAGAAGGAAAAGAAAACAGTGGATGCCTCGCAAAAAGCGCTTAAGTCAGCTGAGCGTAAGACACAACAAACGCTCAAGGAAGTCCGAACTATATCGAACATTGTTAAGGCCCGAAAAGTGTTTTGGTTCGAAAAGTTTTATTGGTTTATAAGCTCTGAGAATTACTTGGTTATCGGAGGCAGAGATGCACAGCAGAATGAGTTAATTGTAAAGAGGTGAGTCTAGTTTTTTCCCACAAAAATACAATGTATTCAAGAACCTGCTCTTATTTCAGATACATGCGCCCAAAAGATATTTATGTGCACGCGGAAATCCAGGGTGCCTCGAGTGTTATCATACAGAATCCAACAGGAGAAGAGATACCACCCAAGACTTTGCTAGAAGCCGGCTCCATGGCCATTTCATACAGCGTGGCCTGGGACGCCAAGGTGGTAACCAATTCCTATTGGGTGAACAGCGATCAGGTAAGCAAGACTGCACCAACCGGAGAGTACTTGGCCACGGGTAGCTTCATGATTCGAGGCAAGAAAAACTTCCTACCATCCTGTCACCTTACCATGGGCCTTAGCTTACTCTTCAAGTTGGAGGATAGTTTCATAGAGCGGCATTTGGGAGAGCGGAAGGTGCGAAGCTTAGATGATGATTCGAACGAACAGGATTTCAAGGAGCCCGAAGTTACACAAGAACACGATCTTCTGTCCGATGAAAATGATTCGGAAGGAAATCCCATTGCGAATGTATCGGAGCAAAGCTCCAACACTGACACATCTGCTTTCCCCAATACGGAAGTGAAGATTGAACACGACACAGGTCGCATCACAGTGAGGGCGAACTCCTTGAATGGCGAGAACGACGAGATCGAGGAAAAGGAAAATGTAATCGATAAACTGCTGAGTAAGAAGCCTGCTGATGAGGAGACCACCATTATTTTGGCTGGTCCCAGTCGCAAGAAGCAAGTCAGTGCCAAGAAGACAAAGGAAGACAAGGCACGAGCTGCTAAACAGGAAGCTGCCAAACAGGAAGCCGCATCACTAGCCGAAGCGGAACCCAAGAATCCGTCCCAGGTCAAGAGAGGCCAAAAGGGAAAGCTTAAGAAAATGAAGTTAAAGTACAAGGATCAGGACGATGAAGAGCGGGAAATCCGAATGATGATCCTCAAGTCCTCCGGCAAAGAAAAGCCCCAGTCCAGCAATGAAAAGGTAGTGGAGAAGAATGTGGCCATTAAAGAAGATGCAACGAAGCCGGCCAAGAATGCAGCTCCCAAGAACACCGCTGTTGAATTGGAGGATGCCGACGAAGTGCCCACTGGCGGGGATGTGGATATACTGAACAGTTTAACTGGGCAGCCCCATGAGGGAGATGAGTTGCTCTTTGCCATACCTGTGGTGGCTCCCTACCAGGCCTTGCAGAACTACAAGTAAGTTAACTTACCTTCTTTTAACCTTAAATTCATATTTATTTTGTATTTTTGTGTTAAGGTTCAAGGTAAAGCTTACCCCCGGTACCGGAAAGAGAGGAAAGGCTGCCAAGTTGGCCCTTAATATTTTTGCCAAGGAAAAGAGCTGTAATACTCGCGAGAAAGACTTGCTGAAAAGCATAAAGGAGGAGTCCCTGGCGAGGAATATACCAGGAAAAGTCAAGTTATCCGCTCCGCAGTTACAAAAGTATCATAAATAAATTGGATGGATTGGAATAAATATTCATAGAAAGTGTTTTAAATACTTAAAAAAACGAGAGATACATCAAGTGTTGTAATTATGAAAGCTGTTTAATTAAAATATAAAACTCCATAATATTTGATTATTATCATTTTTGCCGCTATAAAGCGGGATATTGATTTTCGTAACGGTGGAATATCCCGATTAACGATAGACCGGTTGCTGGGCGAAATCTCAAGCAGCAATTTTGGGACGCCTGCGCAGTGCTCCGCGTGGAGCCCGAGTTTGCATGTGTTTGTTTACTTCGGTTGGCTGTGTCCAAAAGTGGTGTTGTATAAGTAGATATTTTGGTGCTAAGTCGCCTGTTTTGGCATTTTGTGTACTAAAAAGTTCGCCAAGTTCTCGTCATCGTTCGATAAATAGATGGAAACGCATTAGAAGAACGTCGCCTAGCCCAATATCGTGAAATATGTGAAAATAAAGGCATTTAAAGACGAGAAGAGTGAAAGCAAACAAAGCCGAGGAGGCCTACAAATCACGCAGCAGCTCCCGCAGCAACGAGAACACCACGGAAAATGTATCTTTCGGGCGAAATCCGTGTAACACATTTTTTCAACGCCACAATATCGAGTGCGTGAGCGTCTTCCGGAGATATGTAGACACCATTGGCCATATTCGGAGTGCTTCCTCGCCAAAATCAGCTATTCGAAGGCAAATAAATTGAGTTGGAAAGGCGGCGATGGCTCGGTGAAAAACTATGGCCTTCAAAGTCCCACCCAGTTAGAAGGATTCGTTCGTGTGCGTGTGTGTCCGTAAGTGTGTGTGCGTGTGTATGCATACATATGAAAGCCTGTATTGATTAAGGACGAAGGACTCTTTTTTTTTTGTCCCCCGTGCCATGTGAAGAAAATTAACATATAATGTTGACGTGCCTCCAATTATAAAATAAAAGTTATGCATCTGCTGACACACTTCCAGTTCCCATTTAGAGTTTACCATGACGCACATTAAAAATATATATACATTTATATTCCTAAGTACAGATGTTCGTGTCGGTATATACTGGCATTTATATATATGTATATAAATATATGTATACCCCTATTTCACCTGCTTAAGAAATACTAAATATATTAGATGAATTTCTCTAAATAGAAGAATAAATAATAGAAATAACAAAATATATATTGTATATTGGGTAAGCTTTTATACAAATATATATACAATATCATCCCCATCACTGGGACCTTTATAAATTATGTTTGTTTATGACCATTTTTGGGATATGTGCTAAAGTCTAAAAAGTTTTCTAATCAGTAGCATTTTAACTGCTTAAAATATACCATTAAAATGTTTTTAAACAGTTTTTGAATTATTTAATTGATGTTAACTAATATGTAACCATTTTGTTAAATAGTTACAAATTTGTGGTTTTTATGAAGTATTTATAAACAATCCTTAATATTTCAGATATGCTATAAATAACCAGTCTTCGAAAATGTTGGACTTTTGTGAACTTATCACAACTGCCAGATAAAATGAGGGGTCTATTTTTTGCTCAAATAAAACCCAAGGCGGTGATAACAGCAATTATAAATAATTATTAAAACATGAACTTGTAAAATCGGTAAGTAAAAATTATTAAAACTTTGTTTTAAACTTAATAGAGACTTCCTTTATTCCCGTTTTTAAGAAATGGGGAAAAAATGTGGAAATGTCTAAGGCATTGCTATAGATTCAAATATAAATTATTTTGTAGTATATTTGTTAAAATTTATTGGTAATAATTTCTTCCATTAAGTTTTATGATAAAAACAGATAGAAAAAATGAAACTAAACTTTTCAGGCCCAAATTGTTATACCATTGCCTTTTGATTATTAAAATCATCAAAACTGAGCAAAAAATTCATTTTTGTTCAATTCGGATAGCTTTTCAATGTTTGTTATTATGAGGTAAATAAATCTGGATACTCAATTTAAAATTTAAAAAAAATTAACATTTTTGCAATTTTTTGAAAAATTTATAGATGTAACCCCTTATAAAATTTTCACAAATTAAAAAAAAAAATTTCTGTAGGACATAGCTAGATCAATTCGGCTGTTAATGCTGATCAATAATATATATGACTTAGAGGGTCGGAAATGACTCCTTCACAGCGTTTTAAGCTTCTGAGTGAAATTATAATAATCTGAAAGGTTATAAATTGTGTATAAAAAATATTATACCAAATTAAAGTATAGAAATAAAAATAGAAAATAATATTTTGCGGCAACTTTTAACCTTTTTCCGCTTTATTTTTTCAAAGAACATGGAGCCAAATCATTATTACTGCCGGAGTGCTATGCAGCAGACGTCGACGTCGTCAATTCCCCAACATTCGTCGAACAAAATCAACTATGGGATGAATGCGGGACAGCAGGAGTACGCGGCCTGTGGCTCCAATCAATCGCAGTCGGGATACAGCTCAAAGGATCTGGTGCCACGCAGCGGGAACAACAAATCTCTAGGCGGTAATGGCAGCGGAATGGGGAGTCCCTATGCAGGATCGGTCTGCAGCAATAGTGGCCAATGCAGCAAGAGTACTACTGCCAATGCAGGGAACTATATCAATATAATGACTGTTCCACTCGGAACATTGCAGTATAACCGAAAGAAGTTAACTACTCAGGACTACGAGTGAGTGGCATACAATTATATGTAATTGGGATAATAATTTAATTGGGGAAACCCTTTTACAGATCGCATTTATATTACAACACCACGGATGTCAAGTGCCGCGATGATTACTATATAGCCAACAATGCGGCAGGAGGGATACCCCAGCACCAGGGACACCAACCGCAACAGCACATGCAACATCAGCAGCAGCAGCAGCAGCAGCAGCAGCAGCAGCAACATCAGCAACATCAGCAGCACCAGCAACATCAGCAACACCAGCTCCACCAACAACACCAACACCACCAGCAACAGCAACAGCAACAGCAACAACAGCAACAGCAGCATCAGGCAAACTTTCTCCACATCCAGCAATCGCTCCAGCACAACCACCAGCTTAGCCACCCAGAACCAATCCATCAGTTGCCGCAATTACAGGCCTCGCAGGTCGCCGATCCGCCAGATGCCTTCGACAACTGTGCTGCGATCTTCCCCAACGCCAGCGGCAGTGGTCGCGTGGCAGCCACTCAGACCCATCAGAATAGCTCCGGTGTGGTCACATGCGGCGACCAGCAGACGCCAGTGTCCCTGGGCTCCATGCCAGTGCCCCCGATCATGTACACCGTTCACCGTGTGGTGACCACCGCCCAAATCCAGACGGCGGTGGGCAGCACCTTTGCCTCCTCTGCCAGCGTTTCCAGTGTGGTCAGCACGGGGCAGAACGAGGGCGACTGCCTGTCGCCGGCACAGGTGTCCTCTGCGATGGCTGCCACCTCGAATGCTCCATGTCTTGGGGGACTAGGCGACATGGGGGCCAATATGATGAACAATGCAAGTGCACTTTGTCCCCTGTCTGACCTGAGAAGTCCTTCTGGTAAGAGTCTGCTCTACAGTCTTGCTTTCTCCACTTAATTCTACATAATTATAAATATTTAACATAAATTTCAGGTGTTCTAACCAACTCCTCATTCATGCCTGGGCACCATAAATGCAACAATGGCAACGATGCCCAATCTAATCCTGCAATCCAAAAGCGTGTGATGGCCACAAGCTCAACTTCCAATTTCGCAAATGCTGGTAAACCTGCTTCCAACCTGACTCGGGCTCTTCAAAATGTAATATTCCTAATCAAAGACTAATGAATAATTATAATTAACCTGGAATATATATATTTCTTAGGTAATCCCCACTTGTGTGTATCTTATGTCCCGCGTGGCGGTCCATATGGAGATCGAGGGCACTTCCCAGTGTCCATCGCAGGTCATGCTGGCCGCTGCTTTGGGTTGCGAGGAGCTGGGCATATCCAACAAGCTGCTGGCCCAGAGTGTGTTTGGATTGTGGATGACAAGTGCTTTATTGGAAATGCAGCTAAAGGCCCATCATTGTCCCTATATAGTGAGGGTGGCGTGGCCAAATCTGCTCCAGAAGTTCAGCAATAGCAGTCCCAGTGATCGAAAGTTTGATGAGCCCATGATAGTGTTGAAGAGGAATGTTTTCTTCTCGAAACGAGACGAGGAAAAGATCAAGTAATTTCCAGATAAACTTACATAATTACTATTAAGAATTATATTTATTAACTTCAATATTTTCCAGGGATCATCGAATATTAGAGCTCCTGTATGAGGAGGCCAGAAATAATGTTCTAACGGGTAGATATATTATGGAGCCAGTGCATTCACTGATGTTGGGTGGCATACAGGCTCGAATCGAACTTGGGCCCTATAATTCGCATACCCATACAATAGGCTTTTTCGGTGAGTTGAGAAATAAATTAAATAATTAACCCCTTTAATATATATTATATTTTGTAATAAAGGGAAAACCAAGCTCGTTTCTTGCCACCTCATGTAGCCAAGAGCTCGACTTGGTTGTGGTTGCCCATAAGCCAAAAGAACTCTGCGGAAGTCAAGTTGTTGGAGCAGTTTAAGCGGGTTCCCCAAACAGCTACAACACGGAAATTAATGCGAAAATATCTGGAATTTTGCTGGGCACTGCCATTTTACGGGTAAATCTATAATAATTAACTAAATTTAATATATTTTTATTAATAACTATTTACTATAGTGCCGCCTACTTCCATGGACAGATAGAGCAGCCTGTGAGGGGAATTATGGCCTTGGTCAATCAAAAGGATATGGAGGTTTTAGTTGCAGTTAATGAAAAGGGAGTGTTTATCATAGATCCATATGAATGCGTAAGTACTCTATAAAATGACATTGTATAATATTCCTTAAAATATTTTAATATTACCTTTCTGCAGACTCTCTTGCTGGGCTTGCGATATGAGGATTTATCTTGGGATTATGCCAAGCCAAGTGCCAGTGATGATCCCGAATGCCTGACTTGTATATTTCTTCAGGTACTTGAATTTATTTTCTACAACAAATTTAAATTTAATACTTTAACCATTTTCTTTGCAGTTTGATGCTGTTGAGAATGGAATACAGGTTTCGAAGTTAATGCAAATATTTTCCAAGCAAGCTGCCATGATAGACGCACTTATATCACATTTTACGGATCAAATACGAAACAAAAAGCAGGAGGGGAACACTCAAGAACCTTTTCATGATGGTAAGTCGAAATCCTATATTTTAAAGGATTTTTCAAATAATTAGTAAATAAAATAATAATAAGACTTGGATATGTTTAAGTTGTGGAGTTAATGGAGTGTAGACGAATCAACAAAAGTTTAAGTAAGCTGTTTCACACATTAGGGATATTTATTTATTTTAGAAAAGTAATTATATGATTATTAGAAAATTAAAATTACTATTTTACCTTTTTCAGAGCCAAATCCTATTCAAAATAATGGAAATGGAGTGTTATGCAATAAGCTGTCTCGATTGACTTTGGCCACCTTTGATGAGGAGGGAGGTCGCTGCATTGGGCAAATGGGATCATTATCTATAAGCTATTAACAATTGTTACTAATGATAAACTAGACTTAAGTTACAGGGGTGTTACATATAAAGTGCGTGCATATATTCATGATTGTTGATAAATTCCCATAAATATACTCACAAGCAAAGTTTTAGCAAATGGAATCAACATATTCACTCAGTTATCGACACAATGAATTCCACTAAATTTAGTTGTTTTCTAATTTTATCAAACGTGATCTGTATCCGAATTTTAATTATACAATTATCAAGTTTTAATCGTAATTAAATTTTATTTGTTTAAACTTTAATATGACGGAGATCTCTTTAAAGTCTACTTCCATTTGACTTTTGTTAACTTTTGCTCAAAACCAAGAAAAAGCATTTACATTTTTGTACGATTTTCCTTTTTGTAATAATTTATTTAAATGTATAATTAGTGCAGGTATTTACCAAAATGTCCCCCAACAGTTATCTGATTTTATTTACCTTTAAGGTGTAAGGCATATAGCATATAATAAGATAAATACATATATCGGTATGTGCATTTGACGTATGCGTTCAGAATTAGTTTAATAAGCCTTCGACTGAAACAAATTATGTACATAATAACAATAAAGTATATGTACAAACTGTAAGGGCAGACTGCCAACATAGGTTATGTATATATTTAAATTTGTATGTATGTATAAATTGAGACTTAAAATAAATACCGTTCCCTCATATTTATACAGCAAGTACATAGAAGATTACAACAATATTCAATTCTTGTGTTTCAAAGGCACCACACTTGTGATTAGTAATATTCTATATTATTTATCAAGCGCGATTAATTAGCCAATTTAAATTTTAAGTAATCTTTATTTATTATATCCACCAAGCCTTAATAATAATATTAATAACAATTATATTTCGATTCCCTTGCAACACACCTCTGCACCTTTTTTGAATTTTTGAGGAACAATACATTAAAATTCTTTTAACACAACACTCATTTAATTTGAAGATAAATAAACATTGTTTAATAATATATATAATAAAATAGTTCTAATATACGACAACACGGAAATTAATCAATACATGTAGGTGTAATCTAATAAATTATAGTTAATAGAAAATTTATTTAAATATGTGTAAATCAAACATAAATACTAAAGGCTACTTACTTTCTAAAATGTGTCTTTTAATAACACAATAAAAAGTATTAAAAAGTAAATGAAATGGGTGTTGTGTTTATATTAAAATTTAATGAAGAGTTTTGAAACAAAGGAAAAATATATTTTTGGTTGAGGATATTGGTGACAGCATGAGATTGAGCGAAAGAATGTGTGAGTGTGAGTAACGTAGTAAGGATATCCGTCAAAGGACGATAGTTTCGCCATATATCGATACCTACGTATCGAAATTGTCCTGTCGCGGTCCTGCTAACTTGACCAACTTTTTAGCGCCCATTCAAAAATAAATAAATAAATCCTTGCGACGGTTTCATGTAATCAAGTTGAAAGGATTTATAAAGATACTAATTTTATTTACAAGAAAGTGGTGGTAAATTATTTAAAGCTTTCTCAATAGAACAACTTCACTCCTGTAAATTTTTGAGATCTTGAAAATTTGTCTTGACCTTCACATTTAAAAAAAATAACAAAAACTTTTTAAATCGTGATTACCAAATTTTGTACCTCTAGTTTTTATTGACTGAGATCTATGTGTTCAGGCGGACACTTGGAAGAACAGACTTATTTGGTAATAATGAAAAAGTATTTAAATTCTTTCTTATAAAGAGTTTTCCATTTTATAAATTGTTCATAGACTTTTATAAGAACACCAGAACTTCTTCCCTAAATTGAACAATGTTAAACGAATATTGATACAATGATAAATCGCTTATAAATCAACATTTGAATAAGTGGTTCTGGGGTGTTATAAGCAATAAAGAGACCAGGTCAAATCTATGAGACGGAAATTGTTCAATTTAAAATTGTATAAAAAATATTATTTAATTAAAGCTAATTTACACCAAATATAAATGTTCCTAAACGATATTCTGCCAAAGAAAAGATTATAAAGAAGACTAACAAATTTTAAAATAAAAAGAATTAAATGCTAGTGTATCCACTACATGATGTTAATTTTTACGTCCTGCAATTAGATATATTTTAACGAATCAAACAGGGAAGATTTTTAAATTTATTTCTTTTGGAATCAAGGGATTCATAGGATAAATTCCTTCTATTTTATTTAAAATATTTTAAACAAATTTCACCAAGAAATTTCTATGATTCTCTGATAATACTTAACACAAATGTGTAAAATAATAGGAACCGTAAGTTTCTCCTTAAAAAAATGGCAAAAATTCAAGTAATGAAATTTATCTTTTAAAGTACAAATATAAAACAATAAAGGTGCCATACCTGTGTATAAAAATAATTGAAAACTGATGTGTAAATAATAGCCTCTATTTGCAGGGTGAAAAGAGGGTCAGCAACAAATTCAAACTCTTACCAAAGCAAATATTGACCAAAGAGTAATAACGAAATTAGAGCAAATACGGAATACAAATAGTCCTAAGTGAAACTGTGTTATTGCAAAAATATTCGCGACCCAAAAGTGCAGCAGCCGCGTCCAAGACCAAGACCAAATCCCAATCCAAATCTAAGTCCAAATCCAAGTCCAAGTCATATCAGATTCGCTCACGCACAAGCGAAAAGGTTGACCAAACACACACTCACTCTGGCACACTCGCGAGTGTTTATGGGAGGTAAATAACTGGTTTCTATATAAACACACACACACACACACCGGGGGGCACGTGCAGGAGAAGGCCTACCCGGAGACAATTTGGAAATGTGCATCCACGGCCACTACACTCCACCTCACCAACACACACACACTCGCGAAGAGGGACGGGACGGGACACTCACTCTCCACACCAGATGTCCTGTTAAGAGAGAGCACACCGCCCGCAGAGAGCCGTGTTGTCCTGGAAGAGAGCAGGCGCGTAACTCGCCGAGTAACAAGTGGTGGCGAGAGAGCCTTTCTTGCACTGGATTGGCTGCAAACGGGTTCGCGTCCGTCCAGCGTTCTCTTCGCCGCAGATGCGTCGGCTCATCTCGTGAATTCGGAAATTCGCTGTACCGCGTCGCGGAATCGGACTCTGAATCACATCCTTTTGCGATTTCGAGGAGTGCACACCGGTGGTCGCATCCGCAACCGAATCCGCATTCGCAATCGCAATCGCAACCGTAACCGTAACCGCGCTCCGATCTCTCCAGCTCCAGCTCCAGCTCCAGCTCCAGTTCTAGTTATGGATATCTCCGCCTACCAGCACATGAACATCCGGATGAGCACACGGGGCAAGCGTCCGCTGCGAAATCTCACACCCAACGACAAGGTGCGGGCGATCCAGAGGATCCACAATGGCGAGACAAAGGCCAGTGTTTCCCGCGATATCGGAGTGCCAGAGTCCACGCTCCGGGGCTGGTGCAAGAACGAACAGAAGCTGCGCTTTATGTGCCGCCAACTGGGACCGGATCACCTAGGACTGGTGGACACACCGCCCGAGAAGCGGGCCAAGTTCGAGTTGCAGCTCCAGCTGCCGCCCAAATTCGTGGGCCTGCCGCAGAACTACGAGGAGCTCGGCTTTGGATCACTACCCTATCCCGCTGGAGATTATCCCGGGCAGGGAGAGAGTCTGCTCGAGAAGCTGAGCCTGGTGGAGTTCGTGAAGAAGAATGGCCTGCATCCCGAGATGATGCAGCAGAGCGGTGTCGGTGTGGTGGACTACTCCAACAATATGCTGCATCAGCTGAATCTTCTGGCGCTGCTCAACTCCAAATTGACACCTCCTCCCCAGGCACCAGTAGTGGAAGTTGTGCCACCAGTGGAGACACACACACCCAAAGCGGAGGAGGACAACAAAGTGCTGGCTTTGGCTTCGGAAGATTACGCCAAGAACGGACAACCCTTGCTGAGTGTTAAGAATTGGGCCAAGGATCCGGCCAAGCGAAACAGTCAGCCGGAGCAGGTCAACGACAAGAACAACAATGCCTTGGATGCCAACACCCAAGGTGCTCTGCAAACGGAGCAGGCCAAGACGCCCATGTTCCCGGACACGACGACAGTGCCAGTGCCCACACTACTGCCAGCTCCCTTTCCGACTCCCGCGGATCTAGCGCCTGTGATAGCACCACCACCACCGCCGCCCATGGGTGCCGCCATAGGATCCACCAGTGGCGGAACCACACCTCCGGAAGCCGACAACCAGGGAGCCGCCCTGCTGGACTGGTGCAAGCTCTTCAATGCCAGCCTCAATTTCCTGGCCTTTGCCGCGGCCGCTGCCTCCATGCAGCCCGGCGGAGGCGGAGGTGTCCCCATCTACAATCCCCATGCGGCGGCCACCGCGAGCTCCTCGGAGCCCGACCTAGAGACATATCCCTTCAACGAGGCCCTGATGAAGCGCCTCAGCCCGCTGGCCCACAGCGAGGCCTCCAACGAAAGCTACTGTGACAGCGAGCCCGAGGACCTGTCCGTCAGGTCCTGCGCCTCCAAGGCCTCCAGCAGATCGCACACTCCGGACAAGAGCAGCGGGTCCAGCGATGCCGAGCAGTAAAAGGTCCCCCGGCCCAGTTCTTAGTTTCTTAGTCCCTAGGCCATAGTGTAAATACCTCCATTTTGATTGTTAATAGCCACCCTTAGTATTCACGAAACACTCGAACGACTCATTTTGCGAGGCAAATACTATTTGCATTTATCAATTAAACGCATTAATATCAACGCAACAGGTATTAATAGATCGGCGTACTATAGCTAGTATTAACTAGGAATATCGACTGTGTGGCGGCAACTTGTTTGAAAACCAAATTCAATTCATCTACACGTATAATAACAAATACTAATTGTGTTAAGTAGCTTAATTATTTGGCCCGTTCGTCAGCCATTCCAATCGATTTGTTTTCGTACTGCTGTAATCTCCGTAACTCTTAGTAAGCATATAAACTAATTAATAACGAAGCGAATAAATATTTATTAACAACTGAAAAATAAACTTTAACGTGTCAATCTCTCAAAATTCGCAATTGCTTTTCTTATTTATTTCACATTCACTTTATTTCAGCTATTTGGGATGGTGTGTTTGGGCGAATTTTGTACACAAACAAAATTAAGAAGCAACAATGGTGGCTTATAATTTTGAACTATTAATTTCAATACAAAATGGAGAGGGCTAAAACTCTACCTGGTACTCAATCAAAAAGATCCTAGATCCAAGTGTACCAAAAATGTTTACCCCTTCTGAATAATAAATTTGTCGTGAATTTGGTAAACTTTAATTCACATCCTGTTTATAAATTATATTGCAAACGATAAGTAAACACAATGTATTTGTTTTTTTTTTAATTTTCGAAAGATATCTGTATTATGTTTGTTTTCGTTTTGTTTAGTTTTTAATTGATTTAAATTAATTTTTATATCTGTTATGGTAAACGTAGCTGAAATATAGGAATATAGGATTGAATCAGAATTCAATCATAACTAAGCTACAAATATTTGCATACTTTAAATCGATAATTATCAATTTTTATATGACAATTTCTTTAACAAATCAAAATAAAAAAAAACACATAACTAAGCCAAAAATGCATTAATTTCAAATCGGAAAGCGTTTTAATGATAGTGTTTACTAGGTTAACAAATCTGCATACTCAATTTACAATTCCAAAAATTGAAATTTTTTTGCAATTTTTTGTCAATTTTAACCCTTTATCGTTTTTTCAATTTTTGGCCAAATTTGGAAAATTTTATTTTTCCTCCAGACATGGCTTAATCGACGCTGCTGTTGATGCTGATCAAGAATATATATGATTTATGGGGTCGGAAATGACTCCTTCACTACTTTTAAAGCTCCTGACTAAACTTAGAGAGAGAGATGCAGAGATATTTTATGAATGTCCTAAATCAATATAATCAAACAACATAATTAAAGTGAGATTATATGAATTATGAACCAAATAAATATTGAACTTAGCTTTAATAAATTATCGAGAAAAGTGTGGAGAATAAACATGTTGTAGTAGCAGTAGTAATTAGTAGTTGTAGTTGTTTTATTCTATATACAATATTATTATGTTAGTTGGGTAATACGTACCATTTTAAAAACTTATTTTTTATAAGAAGATGTGTTTTGTGTAGATGTATCTAGAATATCATGATCGTTAACTTCTTTTCTTATTTATGTTAGCTCCAATAGTGACTAGACTTTGAGTTGGCAGAACTTGGTCTGGGATACGCAGAGATAACCACGAATCCATTGATACCCGCCGCCTGGATGGAGGTCAGCAGTCAGTAGTCTGTCTTTTGGAGTCCTGGCATCAGGGCGATGCGTTAATGAGTTTCTCTTTCTACCAAAAGCGTTTTCGGAGGCATCGGTCAAGCCGAACACGAAGAAAAAATGGCACCAGCAGAGCACCACCGCCAAGGCGGTGGCAGTGGCAGCAACCGGCGACGGCAGCGGCATGAAGACGAATTATTGGTTCGCCTTTTGGAAAAATTAAATATCGCGTGTTGGTAATTTCCGCTTGGCTTCCCATTGCCGCTGCCATCGGCTGAAGTTGAGGCGAATTATTACGATGATTAGGCGACTGACAGTGCTCCCAGGCATCGGCATCAGCTTCGGGATCGGCATCCATGTCGACCATCCGGCCTGCCAGCCGTGATCCGCACTGTACGACTGACTATGCATGTCTTCCCATTCGCATTTCGCATTCGCATTGGCATTGCATGTGCTCCGCGCAGCGTACTGCACCGCACAGATCGGTGGACATCTTCGTGGCATTCTGGTTCTGGGCGAGGATTAAATTACTTAAAATCGAACCGAACCGAAACCAAACTCGAACCGAACCGATCCCGATCCCGATCCCCTGGGGCATATCGACGGATCCGCTCCAGCCGCTGTCAATATTGTGTCGCCTCGTAACCCGCACGTTTGCAACCGATCGCGGTATTCTGAGAGACACACATATGGATACACAAGTGCCTGGAAATAAGTGGGTATCCACACACACAGGTTTAACAATTGGTTTATATTGTTTTAAACTTTAGTTGAAAATGCTATGCTGGTTTTACTTTTGTTTTTAAGGCTCATAAACTATAATTTCGGCTTGCAGAGGGGAGTGTTTTCAAAAAACTGCTGTGTTTTCGAAAGTTTTTGCACTCGTAAAAACAATCAGAGACAAAATTCTTGGAAAGTTAAATACTAGTACATATATCGGAATTTTTTAGATATAGACATAGTGAATTTATCTAATGCTGTTCTTTTCAAATGTATATTTCATAGGACTATCTTGGATTTATCCCTGAAATAGTATTTATTTTATTTCTTATATTATTCCTCTCCCTTAAAGTTCAATGTACTACCTCTTAAAGCCCAAAATGATGCTTGACTGACATCCTTTTAACATATGATTGACAATGGCAACAACGGCCACGAAATTACCCATCGGAATGAAAGGATGAAGCTGCCAATATCGTTACCACATCCGCACCGATGGCGGATGGAGGAGGAATTTTGCGTGAGCTTAATGTGGATAACATTCAAGAAGATTTTTGGATTAATCGCAATATACCGAATATATATTCCTGTAAGGTAAAAATTATTTATACCGAATATATATATGCATTTTTGATTCCCGCCTAAAACCCATGCCGGCTGAAGTCAATTTATTTGCTTTCTTATCCTCGCGTTTGAATAATTGGCTACCAAGTTACCTTTACGAGATCGAAGCGAACCTTCTGCATTTTGCGTGTTCGTTCAGCGGCTGTGGCATCCGCATCCACGTCCACGTCCATGTCCACGTTCTCCTTCTTGTTCTCATTCTCTAGCATGCCTCAATTACAATCAGATTAGTTGCATGTGAGCAGGAACCCTTTGATGGAAAACGATCGCGCAAGATTAAGTCGCGGAACCGAACGGAGGACCCACCATTCTTCGCCAGCCATCCGGCACGAAACTCAATGTCCAGCAGCATCGTGGATCAATGGAAATGAGGAGAATAAGGAGGAACCTCCATGGGGGACACACACAAACTGTGGATTGCAAACCCATTAAAATTCATCTTGGGTTTTTTTATAGGTCAGCAAAAAATAGTATTCATAGATTATACTTTATTATTACCCTTGGAAAATCTTCAAGCTCCTAAATAAAGTATGATGAGTTGGCAAACAGTTAACGTAAAGAGTTTCATGTCTTTGTAGCTTATTCTACTTATAAATAATATTTATAATAAGCAAATAAGTGTGATTTATTAGATTCCTACTTATAAAGATATTATCATCTTACTATCCATCATTGTGTCATCTTTTCTTGGCCCCGTTTTTCTATGTAATTACGATCTATTAAAACCATATTAGTTATGTTATTAATTAGTACCTAATTCTGTAAAATATTTGTTAATTTTTTTATGTCTGCCCTCACTTTCACATTTTACACTATAAAGTCCACTCTCCAGTTGAGATTACTTTTATCCTTCAGTCCATGGCAATGTCCTAATATATATATCCTAGAAAACCTACAAAGATTTGTGCACTTTTGTATAAAGCCTCATAATTTCGGCTCGGTACGATGATGATGATGATGAATACAACTTTTGATATAAATTGCAATTTATTGTGTCTTCTGGTGAAAAAAAGTGTTTTCTATTTTGTTTTTTGTTGCAATAGTTATTTTTTGTTCTCTTTTCTGGGCATTGTTTTCCTTTTGTCCTTGCGAACATCAAAGCTGAACCAGAGACTTTGTCATCAGCCTTCTCTCTGTGCCTGTTTGTTGTGTTTTCCTAACTCGTTCGCGTTCAAGCGATATTCTTGGAAAAATTCTGATTTAAAAGTCTGCGTAAGGGATACAAATTATTATTTGTATTTTAATTTAAGCATAACTTAACATCAGGTTTAAGATTAAGAGGTGTATTTACTCAGGGATTCTACCTGGAATAATATTGAAGTTAACTATAACTTATAACAAATATTTCATAGTTTTCGTTTCCAATTAAATTAAAATCTGTTTAAATCATTTTAAAAACTTTACAACTACTTTGTTGGCAATTGTTTGTTTCTAGTGAACTGTGAAATTGTAAAAGGCAACAAAAGTTCCCTTGTTTGTTTCTGAAATTATCATGATTAATACAATATTTTGATGGCTACCTGAAGGATGTTGTGATAGCATTCATAGAAATGCCACTGCATTTACCACAGGAACTTCTCTCCGCCACCACGATTTTAAAGAGCCGGAAGGATATTCATCCCTTTTGATTAGCGCGTGTAAGTCAGAAAGGCTTCGGTTTGCCTTTGAGTCCTGCGGACCGATGTCATCCTGAGAAAGGACATCCTAATGAATATGTCATTGTACGCGATAAAGTTTTCACTTTATTGACAAGACAAGCGAATTGGCCTGACATTCGCATTGTTTTCGTGGCAACTTTTATTTTGAAATCTGGAAAACCGGATTTCAGCAGAGGTGCTATTATATTGCACACATTCTGACACGCAAAGGGTTTGTTTTTTCCTCTACCAGAAGACCTTATATAGCCTTGACCGCAAAAAGAACTTTAGCGAAATCTTGAGAGTTCAGAGAGGGATTCTGTGGGGCAAAAAAAATATACACAAAATTAGGAGAATATTTTTTCCTTTTAAAAATATTTATAAAAGTAAAATCAATGATACCATCCTTTATTTTCTTGTTAACTAATGATATAAATCCTTACCAAGAACAAAACTTAGGCAGTCTCTTCTGAAGACTCATCCTTTCCTCAACTCTTAATTTTTAAAGGAGAAATTGTAGCTCAAACATGATGACCCTGACCTTATTTATTTTTACAAACAATAAAATAGAAAAACCCCTATGTATATCTCATAAAACATTTAGTGTTTGCATAAAGAGCAGGACTCTTTATTTAGTATTCAAATCATTGGAGAAGGCCTC